TAAATTATTTAAGTGGATTAAGAAACATCCAGAGAATACAACCTTAATAAATGAATATAGAAATCTAAGGAATCTTATAAATAAAGATATATTTAGAGCAAAGGTAAAACATTATGGCGAGATTTTTGAGGAAAATAAAAAAGATATAAAACAGACATGGGAAGAGATTAATATAGTTTTGGGAAGGAAGAAAAAGCAGAGCATTGGATGAGATGGTACAAAAATATATGGTAAATAAAGGAAGTACTTTAAAACAGATATGTGATAATTTTTCAAACACTTTTACAACTGAAATAAATAGTGTTGTTCATAAATGCCATGTTAAATTAATTGATGATGAACAAAGTGAGGAAATAATACAAAACACCTCTCTATACGACCCAAAAGCTAAAAAGCAAGACATAGAAATGATTTTAATGAAATTAAAGAAAAAAGGAAAAAAAAGTCCAGGTATTGATGGAATTAGAGTTGAGGACTTAAAAAAATGTAGTGCCAATGTCTCAGAAATTTTAGTCAATATTATAAATAATTCACTTTCAGAGGGTAGAATTCCCACCAGACTTAAAACAGCTATTGTAAGACCAATTTATAAATCAGGATGCCACAATTTATATCAAAATTACCGCCCTATATCAATATTATGTGCAATAGATAAAATAATGGAACTTTACATATCCCTAAACCTGAACAGATATCTGACAGAGAATAACATTATAGATAAGTGCTAATATGGGTTTCAGAAAAACAAAAGCACAGAGTTATTATTGCAAGCATTTGCTAATAACATAAATAAAGAGATAGATAAAGGAAATCAAATATTGGTTACATTTGTAGATTTTACAAAAGCCTTTGACACGCTGCGATTTGAGAAGATAATAGGATCGTTAAGGAGTATAGGAATAAGAGGTAGATTTCTTAACTGGTTTTCAGATTATCTGACATGTAGAAAATTGATAGTTAATAATTTACAAATAAAAAACTTTTTTAAATCAAAACGTTTTTAAACGCACTAAAAAGTAGAAAATAATTTATAAATATGTGGAGAGTATAAATACTTGTAAGATTTAAAACGAAAAACGTGAGGTGCATGCAATTGATGATTATACATTAGTTTAAATAGGTGAAGGTAATTGCGAATGATCTATTGCATGCACCCCACGTTTTTCGTTTTAAATCTTACAAGTATTTATACTCTCCACATATTTATAAATTATTTTCTACTTTTTAGTGCGTTTAAAAACGTTTTGATTTAAAAAAGTTTTTATTTGTAAATTATTTTCTACTTTTTAGTTTTTAATGTGTGTGGATGTTAAATCTATTTCAAGCATCTATGTGAGATTAAGACAGAGACATGTGGGGAATCTAAGGTTTATTTGAGTTTCTTTTTGTATAATTATGTATTAGATTGAATGTATGGCCTAGGCCTACCTACTAACTAAAAATATATCAATCTATTTAATTTATTGTTTATTTATAGAATACTAAATAAATAAAAATTTACATTATTAGCAAACACCTTTATATCTAATTATTGTTCAAAATTAAAACTTTGTTGCCCCATACATACTATGGAGTGTTGAAATCGTATTTGTCCAAACGATTTTTTCAAATTAAATATCAAGATATAGTTACAGATGTGCATGAAATTGAATCAGGTGTACCACAAGGCAGTGTTCTTGGACCTATTTTGTATATTTTGTTCACTTATGACCTTCCAAGTACTCAGGGTATTACGGTTGCAACATTTGCAGACGACACTGCTTTTTTATCATCAAATCAGGATCCTATTCTGGCATCATCAAACCTTCAGGCTGCATTAGACGATTTGTCTCAGTGGCTACAGAATTGGAAAATTAAAGTAAATGAAACCAAATCCGTTCAAGTTACATTTACTATGTCTACAAGAACTTGTCCCCCAGTAACATTGAATAATGTCATGCTTCCACAATCCAACGAAGTTAAGTACCTTGGTATGCATCTCGACAGACGGCTTACATGGCATTCACACATTTGGAACAAACGACTTCATTTAAATTTAAAAACAAACAAACTAAATTGGCTCATTGGTCGAAATTCAAAATTATCTGTTGAAAATAAATTACTTTTATACAAAATTATATTGAAACCTATTTGGACCTACGGTATCCAACTCTGGGGAACCACTTCCAACTCAAACATAGAAATAGTTCAAAGGTTTCAATCGAAAACACTGAGAAAAATTTTACAAGCCCCTTGGTTTGTCACAAATAAAGTAATTCATCAAGATACGAAATTACCCTATGTTAAAGAAGAAATAAAGAAACGAAGTGAAAAATACCAAAGAAAATTAGAAACCCATCCAAATTTCCTGGCTGTTAACCTCCTCGACAATAGTGAAGCTACATATAGTCTCAAAAGAGTTAATCCAATAGACCTTCCAAATCGTTTTTAGTTAAACTTTTTAAAAGTTTTTGTATGTTAGTGCACTTGATGGAGTGTAACTAACCCATGTTAAAATGGTTATTGAATTTACTTATTATTCTAGTATTGAATAGATTGTAAATAAATACTTGTTAAAAAAAAAAAAACCCTTTATATCTGCAATCAGATTGTTTATCTTTATTTGGAATGTTTGTTTGTGTAAAGAATCTCTTGGGAGCATAACCTGTACCTCTTAACCTCTGTTCTTCGAACTGTCAAATTTTAGTATTTACAGCTGACATAAATTTGTTGATATATTTACATTCTTTCAAAATGTAAACAAGGAAAATTTGGAAGCCCATGGGGCGTAGCCCAAGGGAAATATGAAAATTAAATGATATAATATTGCATTGTCATCCACTTAATTGTGAGCTATATTTCAAATTTCAAGTCTCTAGCTCATCGGGCACTTCGTTTAAAATTGAAATCAAAATTTGTAGGAAAGCTAGCTAACAAAAACAAGCCCATGGGGCGTAGCCCAAGGGAAATATGAAAATTAAATAATATAATATTGCATTGTCATCCATTTGTTAGCTATGTTTCAAGTCTCTAGCTCTTTGGGAAGTATCAAAATTTGCAAGAAAGAATACCCTTCCCAAATATATTAAAAAGGCTAATACATACATGTATGCAGATGATACTGCTATTGTGGTTGCCAAGAATGACATTAGAGAGGCTGAAGCAGATACGCACTGCAAAGTGCAGTAGGTAAATAACTTGTTAGAATGGTGTCATGATAATGGCCTTATAATTAATGGTAGCAAGTCAATGGTTATTCATAGGCCTATTCATTCGCCTGCTTTTCAGTGTTCCAAAGTAACACAGTTAAAGTTAATTTAGTTAAACTAGTTTTAGTTAACTTAGTTAATTTAGTTATTTAGTTAAAGTTAAGTTATTAAATACCACAGTTTTGACTGTTTGCATTGCAACACTTATTCATTAGTTAATAATTGTAGTTGTACAAATTTGGAAAATGTTAATAATTTTAAATATTTAGGTGTGCATGTTGATCACAAATTTAAATGGGACATACATATAGATTATGTTTGCAAAAAGATAAGATCATGTACTTTTAAGCTGTTTCATTTAAAATGTGTCTTGCCATAATACGATGTCTTATTGTTAATATACAGGTCCTTGTGTGAATCTGTGATACGTTATGGTTTACGGGCTTGGGGTAGTGCCTCAATGACCCATCTAAAAAAATAGAAAATATTCAGGAACAAACAATCAGGTGTATTGTACCTTTAAATACAAGTCAACTGCCACCATTGGAAACTTTTCGATACACCAAAACTTTGCCTGTAAGTAAACTGTTCATGATCTTAATTTATACAGATTATTTATTTCAAAACGAACTAAAACAGGTAAATAATCATAATTACAGGGTGAGAAGAAACTATTACAATGTTCCCAGATTTAAAAATAAATATGGTTGCAGGTCTCTAGAAGTACTTGTACCAATTTAATATAGATACTGGTCTTTCTGTTAGTGAATGTTATCTGAATGTTTAAATTATTATCTATTTATATGCTTGTTTCAGGTGTTGGCTATATTTGTTTCTGTCTTTTTAGTTATATTTATAAATTTTAAAAGATATTGTTATTTATTTGTTATAGTCTATTGTGCTGTTGTTCATTGTTTGTTAGTAATACTATTTATATATTGTTATTTGCATGAGATTTGGATTGAAATATCAGTGGTTTTTGATGATTTAACTATGCATGATAACTCAATGGAAAGTTAGGACACTCATAGAACTGTGTTGATTGCTGATTGAACTTGACTTATATAGTAATTAACTAAAAATATTTTTCATAATATGTTGGTGCAGACAAGCCTTGTATGGTTTTTGCACCTATTGTCTAATATGCATGTATTTAATATTATTGTTCAATAAATTGATTGATTGATACCTGATAATACGATGTGTAGAATAAACGGTATCAGCAAACTGACACATACATTCTCCCATTAGCTTGTCAATAACCATTATTATGCATAAGCAGTGGGAGTAACTATTATATTTCAAGGGGAAAATCACAAAAATTATAATAACTTTTGATTCTTAATTTTCACAGCATTGGGGGTTTTACCATTTTGATAAGAATCAAAAGAACCATAGCATACAAAATTTAATCAAAACCGTTAGAGCCGTTTTTGAGAAAATCCAATTTTTATGTTATTTTTTTTTAGTTTTTATGGTGCTGGGGACATCGAAGTGATAAAGTAAATCGGTCCTGGGTCTAGGTTAAATCTTGCTACCAACAGTAATAGCAAACACTACGGTAGCAAAAAAAATTTGAAAAGTAGCACACCATGCGAGGCAAGAAAAAAAAACAATAAAAAAGCAGCTTACAAATACATTTATTGTCACAATTGTTAATCAAAAGTAACTGTTATTGTTTTAGATGAAAAAATTTTTACCCACAATTTGTTGGAAAAATCTAAAATTTTGTTGCATATGCCGGAAGTTGAACCTCATCCCTCTACATGTTTCTAGTTTTTACTGTGGATAAAGTAAAATAGGAGATGTATATATAGTTTAATGAATGTTTATTTTAAAGATATACAAATTTCAAATACACTAGAATATCTGACAAGCTGTGGGTTCAACGACAGTACTCGGGAGGAATGTGACAACGTCTTCGTCTAGAGACGGTACGAGGGCAAGACTGACCTCCGTTCCTTGGTTCAACCTGTGAAAATAAATCATTAGATTATAATAAATTAATAATAAACTGTTGACTTCATTTCGAGATCAGAGTAATATTATTAATTTATAGTTCTGTTGCTCGGTTTGGAGTTTAAAAAATTAAAGAACAGGAATAGATCAGAAAAATACATTAGGTTTGTATACATACAGATAAATTAGCTCTGAGGTTTATTTTATTGTACTTTTGGGATCATCTAAGTTGAGTTTGCTATCCTTAACGTTACGTGAGGCAGTAACCTTCTTACCAGCACAGTTCGTGTTTTCTGACGGAAGCCGTTACCACAGTTGACGGAGCAGTCAGACCAAGCGGACCAGTCCGACATGACGCAGTCCACGGGCGGACCTGTGATGGCCTTGGCAACTCCGGGCGCAGCAGGACGATCTCCTTCCAGCAGAGCATCTGTGTAACATGTAAAGTAAATCAGGAGAACACAGTGATATGAACAACTTTAGACCTATCATAATCTTACTCATTTGGTTAGAATTGTGTCGTAACTCCATAAAAACATATTAAATTAATTCAGAGATGGTACTAATGGGTTAGATTTTAGATTTCTTGCTTATTTGGTCAAAAATAAGTTAAAACCCCAAAAAACATTTTATGTGCACCCAGAGATGGTACTGATGATTTGGGATTTCATCAAAATAAATGTTAAAATGAGGAGATGAGGAGGCTTACTTGATACATAGAGCTAGAAATAACTGAAACAGAAGAGGATATGTATAAATATCTCAGCCACCTTCTATTAAATCTATATCTATACTATTATAAAAAAGAGGTGGTTGCTGTATGTGTGTATGTGTGTATGGGAAAAGTAAACTCGAAAAATACTGGTCGGATTGGGCTGAAATTTGGCATGATGATAGCTCACATTCCCGATTAACATATAGGCATATTCTTATTTCAAAAATCCTTTCGGGCTCCGCCCCAGTGGCTCTGGAGTTTCCCATGTTAACCTTATGAGAAATGGAATTATTTAATCTTAACAGCTGTTTCAATTAAACAAGTTGGTTCTGTTCTATGATGTTCAATAGCATTAAAGTTACAAGGATTACCAACAGGGTGCAGCACTATTATTTCTTTTACATTTATGACAACAGCTAATTTGCAACCAAAAGGTGAGTGAGCGTAGCGAACGAACTTCAACCTGGAGGCGAGTTAGCGTAGCGAAAGAGCTAATCTGAAGGCAAGTGAGCGCAGCGAACGAGCTCCAACCTAAAGGTGAGTGAGCGTAGCGAACGAGCTCCAACCTAAAGGTGAGTGAGCGTAGCGAACAAACTTCAACCAGGACGTGATTGAGCCATGCGAACGAGATAATCTTGAAAATTAAGAAGTTAAACGGGGCAAAGCCCGCGGGTTACAGCTAGTACTTAATATAATCACCTCTAACTGCAGAACAAGTCCGATGGCAGTCTTCCTCCGTGAGAAAGTTGTTCCTGTTCCCGCGACATCCGCTGTACACAAACGGAACACACATCGCCTTCATGCTGCTGAAGAACCAACGTTGGAAGTAGCCTCGGCATTGGCCTACCTCAGCATCCAACATGCAGATTGCTGGAACAGAGGAACAACAGTTTAGGTTCCGTGCGACCTGATGATGTATGTACAACATCAAAACGCGTGGTCCATTGTGGCAGAGGAATCACCATGTATTTTAAACTTTTTACAATACATACCTTAATTCATACACCAAGACTACCAAAGAATCTTTCAGTGTTACCTTTGGCAGTGTTCATATCAATAACACAATCCTGTCGGCCGGTGCACGGATGTTGCTGTTGCAGCTGACGTCGCGCGGCGCAAGTAGCGTTGAGATGAGGCTCGGAGAGAAGAATACGAGAGCGCAGCCGGACACCGGGGCCGCATCTGACACTGCACGGAGACCACTCAGACCACTCGGTCACTGGACACTCGGGGTCTGGCTGTAAAGGAAAGTCGCTCTTAGGCTGAAGATGCCATTGAAAAGACAGTAAACTTATGTTTAAAAGTAATTGGATGAACAGAGTTGAAGAATGTACATTTATCACAGTACATAGTAAGTTTTTAAAATGTTGTTTTAGGTTCTCTAATATTCAAGAACTTGTTCGTAACTGGTAAACTTGCATTTTTTCTGACACTATAACATCAAGAACACAGGCTAAAAAATGTATCAACCAATATGAAACAAGATTTCAGGTCAAGTGTACCAGCATCAAGTGAGATAAAGTTTTGTATTTTTGTAAACACTAAAAGATTCTTCACTCAGCTAAATCAAATTTTGAGTATGTTTTTAAATTGTAGAAATTCTGCAATAAAAAAAAAGAAATTATGAAACAAAACGATCTCAAAAACGAATCACAGTACTCACGACTTCCTCATAGCTACACGGAGGCTCCATACATTTCTCCTTCTCTACAAGAGTAACGTGAGGGCATTTCTTGATGGCGCCTCTTTCCACAAAGTGTCTTGTCCGCATCTTCAGACCTTCACCACAAATCGAGGTACAGTCCGACCACGGCTCCCAGTCTGAAACGGCGCAGAGACGTTCGTCAAACACTGCTAGTTCTTCTTCATCTCCCCTGCACAAAGTGAAAAGCACTGTTAACAATGTAACAAACGAAACAAATACACACAGGGTTTTGTGTTGATTTTTGTTTGTGTACTATGTAATTCTGTGTCGTTTTTAGGTGATTTTGTTTTGTCGAGTAGATTTGTTTTAATCGACAGTAATATTGTTATATCTTAGGTACACACATGCTGGAAGACAGTATCAAATTAAAGATCCCGAAACATTATGAAAATATTTGTTCTAATCTTAATAATAAATGTCCGCAGTAGTACTGGGTGGCGCATAAAGAACGCATGGATTTGAGTTGAGTGGTGAGAGCAATAGGAGCGTGGTGGAGGGACTGGGCCTGGTTGTTTTGTAGGTTAGGGTGTCCAGTTTTAGTAGCAATGGTGCAGTGGTCCGTGGTACATCGGATTTTTGCGGTAGAACATTTATTCAAAAGTCATTAAATCTGTTAAAACTGTTCAAAGGCTTTTCTGCACAAAGTTCAATGTTCCGCGAGTCCTGAAAAAAGTACGGTAAGGCCCAAAAATAACGAAAGTTACACCAAACGTTAAGTTTCAAATCGTGCAGTGGTTTTTGATGCAATTCTTTTGGGTCTTCTGCTGCCAAATAGTGCCAGTTTTGCTTATTGACATAACTATCCAAATGAAACTGCGCTCCATCATTAACATCACACACAAAACGCCATCAGTGGCAAGAACATCAACCATTCTCTCAAAACAGTTTCCATTTTCGTAATCACGTTCATAAATCTTCTGTTCGATCATAATTTTGTAAGGATGAAATTTTAACTCGTCTTTCAGGTTGCCCTGCAACGAGCGTCAAGACAAGCACACAGTTGGAGCGCATCGCCTAGTGTAACAGACGCCCTTACTCTGTCGACATTTTGTGGAGTTCGCGCCGTGCAAGGACAACCAAACCACTTCTGCTTCATAACTGATTCAGTTGTGCGAAAAGAAGCTACCCAACAAAGTATTGTGTTGCGATCGGGTTTTGTTTTGAACCATTGAACTATGCACGGAAAAGCCATTGAACAGTTATATCAGATTCATTATTTTTGAATAAATGTTCTACAGCAAAAACGTGATGCGTCAGGTTGATTGCACCATTACTACTAAAACTGGACGCCATAACCTACAAAACAACCAGGCCCAGTCCCTCCACGGACGCTTTTATTGCTCTTACCACTCAACTCAAATCCATGCGTTCTTTATGCGCCACCCAGTATAATCTCTAACTGAATAAATGTGAAGCAACTCACGGACAGAGCGGGTTGTCAGCGACACACATCTCTCTGGATACGAGTTGTCTGTCACAGTCCGCTTGTTTGGCCAACTCTGGGTCTAAGTAGCTACGATTGCGAGATCTCAAACCTTTGCCACATGTCACGGAACAGACAGACCACGCAGAATATTCTGTCACCGCACATTCTCCTGCCACAGAAACGCACAAAGTGTATTGTTTTTCAGAGACCATCCAATAGATTTCTCCAGGATGTTTAAACCCAATCCATAATTTTAATTTTGGTAAATGGACTTTTCCGTAAAGGTACTGCTTTACCATTAAGTATTCTGACCAGTAAGTTCCCGGAGGTAAGGAAATTCCTCCTGTTTTCAAATAACTAACTAATAACCTAAATTGACGTCATTAATCTAACCTAACCTACAAAATTTTTCTTTCTTTTTTCCCACTCAGATTACACATTACATGACCTAAACACTTAGCGTAGGAAAAGTCCATTAACTAAAATCAAATTAGTTATTCTTCGTGATTATGAACTAAAAAAAAATTAATATTCAAGTGCAAAATGTATCAAAATCCATCTTTTTTTAATGAATTTCTTCCAAACACAGAAACGCAATCTATACATCAACGATCAACTTTTCATAATACATTCTGTTACAACCATTCAACCATTCACTATTGGATATCTAAGTGCAAATTCCATCTATATTGATCAGCTGAAGCAAATTTTTGAAGATAGTTGAATGAACCGCCCACAAAGCATGTCACTGTAAACGTAAAGTTCAATTTTCTCTCTTATATTTCAATACTTCTATGATTTATGTGACATAAAAGATGCCACCGTCTTCAGGAAGTGTTTCTTACAGCTTGGTTTACTTAAAAAGTTTGTGAATTCAACATAAACCAGTAAATGACATCAACACAATCTAATGCTAACTCAACCCAACTAGTCAATTTTCATTAAAAAACTAGATACGATTTTAACTTGAAATAGAATGTCTAGTTATATAAGTAGTCAAAGACGCAACACCAAACCCTTACTTCTCGTTGAGTCCTCGTTGTTCTCAGCGACCCCGACCTCCTCTAGCAGTTCGTCCTCGGTCTTGTCGCTACACGCCCGCGGGATCACCTTGTCCAGGGTGATGTACAGACGTGCCAGGGGTGGGATCTGTTTCCCGCTAGGGTCGTAGAAAGGCGCCCTTGGGTCTTCTGGGTATAGACTTGTGATCTTGTGAATCGGCTCTTGAGGAATGGTCGGAGCGTTGGGCGACTGAAAAGGAGATTATGTTAAGGTGAATAAATTACTTTGACCTGTGAAGCTGTACAAGGTTGGTTCCCCAAAATGCCTTGTAAACAATAAGGATGATATTAGTCTATTATACCTAGATTTTATTCATCAGGCAATAATTAGTGAGCATTGAAAATCAGTAAAGAACTTTGTTAAAATATGCTTCCTCACCTCCATCTGAAGTCTAAATGTTTGCCAACACAATGGCGCTGACTATTTAAAAAAACGGTTTGAGGGGAAGATCTCCCCCCCCCCACTTTTTTTGCTCAATCTATATGTTGCACCTGATTGACATTTAGACAAACCTCAGCTGTTGAGCTATTGTTTTAAAGGTAGTATCAAGTGGAGGAGATATATTTCTTCCCCTAAAACCACCTAAATTGTGTGAGTAGTTATGTTGCAGACACAACATCGCCAAAGCTTTCCATTTGTCCAAACATCAAAGTAAATAATGAAATTAATCACAACACTAAACAAGAACATGGCACACAATGATTGAAATACAAAAAAGCGAACTTAATGTGCAGATAACATGTACAGTCGTTTTGATTGTGACTCAAACTGGTTCCAGCAAGTTTGGATAGCACAAAAAATAATGAAATCTATTTTTAATTTCTTGTTTTATAGTTGAATATCACCTACACAGTAATACGTAAATTTAATCAAAACAATTTGTTTTGAGTGAATCACAGTAAAAACAAGGGTTTGTACCATGTACAGTTAGCCACATCCTCACTGTACTCAATTGTCCACATGCAGTCGTATAACACAGACAGAATAATGGAAGATCAGATACTCCAATTATAATGAGTAAAGTAAGAACTTTACTGTAAGTGTAATACAATACCCCCGCCGCAGCAAACCTGCAGACTAAGCGAATTTCCATTTACCTGATTGGATTTACACTAAATTGTCTCCTTAAAAATATCACATTTATTCCCTATTTAAAGAACATTAGTTTAACGAGTACTAAGGTTTGCTGCAACAGGGAGGGTAAAAGTGTTTTTTATCTCAAATGTTAATAGTTAGTAAGATATAAAAACATTTTCCAAATTTGGGCAAAATATGTTCTATTCTTATGGAGAATAAGCAAACTACAACAGTTTACTTATTCTCCATAAGAATAACATAAGAATTTTAAATTTACAATTTTTTGGAATTTTCTCCGTAATCATTAGGCGCATTATAACGCTTCAATATACTAAATTATTTGTTTTTTTAAGCTCTACAAAATTGTTTGGGAAGAAATTGCTAAATTTTATGTTTTTAGGGTCAAAAATGGGAAAACCCCATTTTTACCCCATAAAAGCCCCCATAAACCCCCGTTCCTATGGTCCGATCATGCTGGTTCGCGAACTCGTTCGAATAAACTTAGGTTTACACGTTTGTACCAAATTTCATCAAAATCGGATCATCTTTGCTCGAGTTATCGCGCTAACGGACACACATATATATATATAAATATATATATATATGAATTTGAACGGGTGGTGTTTTTGGCCTCTAGGGACCGCAAAACGAAAAAAAAAAAAACGGTCTTGGGTCCAGGTCTTTCCATGAGTACTACGGTAATAGCTTATTCCCTAAATGGGAAATTCGCTAAAATTAAAAATTCACATCATCCTGAGGAAGATTTCAGTAGCATTTAAGTATTAATGTTTGCTAGTTACCATGTAGGTGATGCCGCTGTCTGTTCCGGCGTCGTAAGGGAGAAGATCAATAGTCTTGGAGGACAGCCAGGTACAATCGGACTGACAAAGATTTAATCCGGACACTCCTACTACCCAATCGGGGGACGGTCCTGGCCGAACAAAATAAGATAATTTTCTACCTTCAAAATAGACTAATCAATCTCAATCTTTAGGAGATGACCGCATCGTTGCATCAACGAAGGTAGTGGCCGAACCCAGTTCATCATCTTCAGGACTAAAATTAAAGTAATGTTCTTCAGATTGTCCCGTTGATTGCAGCACATCCAAAAACCATCTCACAAAGACCAATTAAGGTCACATCTTTATCTAGTAGGATACTTAATATATAGTATATATCTGAATAGAATGAGTCAATTATCAAATACATTTTTGAAAGGTGGAGAATTCCACTTATTGACGCCGGAATATTTTTTAATTTTTCTACTACTTTTGTTTAAGGTTATGTCCTTTGTGTCTTTTACATATTTTAACTGGATATGTCAATTTTTAATAAAAATGAAAGCCAAATATCAAACAAAATACCTTGAAACATTGTGAAGTATTTTTTTAAAATAATTTTCCTCACCAAACATGGATATGAGAGAGACCAGATGTTTGCTGCGGTCCACACGGAAGCTAGAGGAAGTGTTACTGTTGACGTTCGGATACCAAAGTCCAGCTGCTTTTATGAGAGTCTTAAGACCTCGGCTCTGGAAACATGTTCAACAATCAATTAGCTTAAGAATTTTTTGTAAACCGTTATCTTCTATTTTATTCTAATATTTTTTATTTTCTTAGATGACTATGAAGCAGCATTTACACCAGACTTTGCAAATGTTTAAAACTGGTTGTCAACATTTGTTTAATACATTTGTAGCAGTATCTAGTGTAAAAAAGGTTTTATACCGTACTCTTTTTAAATCACCAATACACAAGTAAAAATTAAGTCAAATTATTAATATTAATTGACACATAAAGTTGCATAGATTGCTTACAGAAGTAGCTGATGTTTTGTCTGTTTATCCATCGATTCAATTTTATGATCAAATTTATTTTTATCTAATTCAAACTTTTTAAACACAGTAACAGCAATATTTCAGTATTTCTTAGTTTTCATAAAAAAAAGGTTTGCTAAAGAATATTTTCAGTAGAATTTCAGGCAATTGATTGTACAGTACAATGACCTATTTAAATAAATGGGTTGACCAAAGTTTTTACCAGTTTTAGCTTTATCTTTGTTAAATCCAAATCAATATTTATATTATAAAATCAGCTAATCTGCAGTAATCCAGCAACATCCACCTTCAGTCTCAGCTCCTGTTCCATCGCCCGGACAGACCCCCACTCCGCCAACTGTCGTAGGGCGTTGGAAGCTGTCGATCCTTCCTTCCACACGGAGAAGTTGCGACCGTGTGATCCACCGATCACGTCACTGAAGTGAGTCAGCCACAAGCTGAACGGAAAGTCCTTCGGATGAGTGACGTTGGACCACAGACCCTCGAAGACAAACTGAAATATCAGAATGAGTAGATTAGTGTAAATTATACCCTAAGTGTTTGGGGACAGAGCTGATCTAGTGGTAGAACGGGGGACTTTGGTCCCAGGGAACACAGGTTAAAATCTTGCCAATCACCAATGAATGTTATCTATTGAAAATGTCTATTTCTGAATAAATTGTTCCTTGGTGCGTAACAATACTTCACACAGAATAGCACAAAGGAAAATAGGATAGCGAGTTCTTTCTATATCTATATTTCTTTCTATCTGAGGAAGAAGGGGATAAAATGTTGAGTAAATTCGTTGCTGGAGATGAAACATGAGTAACTCAAATCACCACTGAGTATAAGAATCCTTGGAGTGTCGGAACTCACTTAACCTTCTCTGTCAAGGTCAAAGCAATACTGAACTGAGCGGTCCTCATTTTCACAGTCATTTTCAAACTTCCTAACCATTTTCTGCACTTAACCTCAGTACTCGTTCTAGGGCCATTATGTTTCTTGCGGTCAAAAACGTATCACTGATTTTATCTCAAATGCAGCGGGAGATACAATAATTTGTAAACATTTTCTAGACACATAGCAAAACGTATATGTCAGCTACAGTGCTGCAAATGGCATGGATTCTGTTAAAAAAATAATATCATTTAGTGGCATGGTGGTCCTGAACAGACTAGAGTTAGTCTTCTGGAATAATTAATTAACTATATTGATTCATGGAAGGTATGGGGGTTTAGTGAGTGGGAGAAAATTTCGCGCCGTTCCGGCCAAACCTCGCATGCGGGGTTGGTTCGGCAGATTGGCCACAACCTAAACCCCAACTCTCACTTGTTAGCTGCGGAGAGCTACCTTCTGCCACTGGGTGTTGGTCCACCTACAGAACCAAGTGAGGGGGGCCCTAGACTAAAGTGTAATGCGATCCGTGCCAAGAGTCTTGTGGCACTGGGGGCCTAATATTCAGTGTCTTAACGGAGCCTTCTGGGAACCAGGGGTAACCCAGTCGTACACACCCTTTACCTCCCTAATCGGGTCACTGGGGAGGTGGACTTAAATACCCGGTATTCGTGAGATCTATGTAGACAGTCTGACCCAAATGGAGGAGGAAGGTCTACTGAAATCTGACGATGACGACAAGCTCGCAGAAACCGGAAAGGAACGAAAAACTACTTTCCAGGGGCGAGTTGCAAAGATGGAGGATAGCGGATGCTTTAGCCAAAGGCGAAAAGGTGCTATCCAGAAGTGAGAGGAGGCTGGTGTGGGCTGCCAAGCACCCTAACTCTGCTGCCTGCAAAGCCAGTTCCTCCGGGAACTAGGATGCTGGGAAAAAGCAGAGCAAGGGTGGTACCCCCAAAGCTGACTCTAATGAAGCCTCCAGGAAGAAATGTGGAGGCTGTGCTGACACAGCCACAAAGGATTGGCTGGTCAAGCAAGTTCAGGAGCTGAGACCTTTCAGGGAAATCTCGCTACGGCTTGCTCCAGCCAGAGACCTTGTGAAAGCTGTGAAGGTATATTTATGTGCCCAGCCCTACAAGGTCTGCGTATGAGATCCCTCGTACAAAAAGGACTTTCCAGGGGTGAGTTGGAAAGACGGAGGATAGTGGATGCTTTAGCCAAAGGCGAAAAGGTGCTATCCAGAAGTGAGAGGAGGCTGGTGTGGGCTGCTAAGCACCCTAACTCTGCTGCCTGCAAAGCCAGTTCCTCCGGGAACTAGGATGCTGGGAAAAAGCAGGGCAAGGGTGGTACCCCCAAAGCTGACTCTAATGAAGCCTCCAGGAAGAAAGGTGGAGGCTGTGCTGACGCAGCCACAAAGGATTGGCTGGTCAAGTAAGTTCAGGAGCTGAGTCCTTTCAGGGAAATCTCGCTACGGCTTGCCCCAGCCAGAGACCTTGTGAAAGCTGTGAAGGTATATTTAGGTGCCCAGCCCTACAAGGTCTGCGTATGAGATCCCTTGGCCTATTGATGGGAGATCAAAGGGAAGAACAGGTCACCATAGTCAAGACGCTCTCACGGTTCACCAAGGACCTGGGATTTGACGGAGAATGAGGACCTGTGAACGAGGGTGCACAATAAGCTGTTCTAGCTGCGATGCTATCCCATGGTAACTTGTAAGCCTGGCCCTCTGTTAAAAAAAAAAAAAAAAAAAAATATTGATTCATACAAACTTAAATTACAAAACAATAACCTTGTACTTAGCCTGGTCGCAGGCGCAACATTCCTCAGTGTAGCCAGTAGAGGGTGCAACTAATGGCTTCTCCGTTAACTCACAGATTGTTCGGCTCAACTGTCCGTCCTCCGCAAACCATCTACTCTCGTCCACGAACACCATGGCTCTGCAAACAAATATAATTTAATTCATAGTAATAATAATAAATGAGGTAAATTATTTAAGCCAACAACGCACACTTTGGTGCATATTTTAAAATGGAATGAGATGATCTGTGTAGCTTTGTTTCTGACTGAAATCAGCTGTTTCTCGGCCAGGATCATTTATTAAAAGCCCAATGATCAAAGACAGATAGGTCCAGTTTCAAACAATCAAAAAGCTATTTACTTTTCTCACGATTGAACCAGTGACCTTTCAATATTGAGGTCACAATTACAAATATGGTTTCTCTACTCACCGCAACGTAACACAGCCGCTACCCGGAGCAGGAGCGTTCCACATAACTCTAGCCTCCGGTTTGGGACGATCCTTTGTCTCGCTGACGGTGTTGATACAATCAGGGTTGAAAGTGGAGGTAGCGTCTCCTCCAAACAGCTGGTAGCTGCCGACACGCTGAGGCGAGACATCCGAGCCATCGCTGGGGCTGGCGTCTGCGACGAGCGTGAACCTGCGGAATTCTTGGAGACCTTCCAGCGTTACTGCGGAAGTGAGAGAAAAGTACCCTTGTAAACTGGTTTCAGATTTGGTAGTATCACAGATTAATTATACTGCATTATAAAATTGTAGAATAAAGATGGATAGCAGTTGTATCACAAAATATTTCGTATTCAAGGGAGACTTTGTCAAATTTACAGAAAAAAGTTCACAAAAATCCTTTGAAAACAGTTTTAATGTTAGTTGTGCAGTCTTTACCCACAAATATTCCAAGCTACTGGGAGATACTATTTGTCAGTTCGTAGTGTAATGACGTGTAGATAGAAAAAAGCTTTAATACATTTCTTATTTAGAGCATATATGCTTCCACTTAAATTGTCTTCTTCATATTTCCTATTGACATTATTATTCCAGCTATGTCAAAATAGAAATTATTCCAACTTACCGACATACATCGACTGAGGCACATATTCTGTAGGTTCTCCGCTGATTCTTATCTTGAACCCTCCGTCTCCAGGAGTACGTGGGGAAGCTTGAGTCCCGGGGTCTAACGGACAAACTGCCAGGCTTGCCACTACGCAGCTACTAAATATCAGTAGTACCAACTGTGGGACAAAAAATATCCCCAGTAATCACACTTTAATATGACTTCACCACTTCATCACTCTCTTTTCAACACACGATAGTTTAGTTTTGTTTTTTTACACTTTTATGCATTTTTTATACCAGCAGACTTATATTTCTACATTAACTCACTTATTCATTACAGTTTGCAATCAAACTGGAATACCCATTCCAGAATCGTCCGTATAATTAAAAATATTAAAATATCAGTATTCTATTGAACTACATTTTTTATTTACAAGTCTAATAACTTTTAGTTTTATTCTCGCAAAGTCAATAGCGTGGGAAAAAAACATATTTGTTGGATTTTATAACTTATGAAAGCACTTTAACATCTTTGGTAACAAGCTTGAGTTCTAAAAATAGCCAACACAATAACCTTATAATAATAAGGTTCTATAATTAATAAGGTTCCTATCAGTTCATTTGTGTTTCCAATCAAATCCAGTTTCCGCTAGTTTTTGTCAGTTTCATTCATTTAGCTGGTAACTTTTAAGCATGATCAAATTACACGTATCACTTTAGATTAACCGTTTATTAAATTGTTTCATTGTGTATATTTTAATCAACATGTATATATCCTCAAATATTGAATTCATCAATAAAATATATTATTTTATGTTCTTCCAATACTTTTTTGTGTTAGAAACGTCTTTAACGTACGCTCTCTTAACAAATACATTACTTATAGATATAGACTTTTTCCCTTTTGTCTCTATAAAACGTCAAAATATAAAACTTAAAATTAATATATTTTCAAAACATATAAAAGTAAATTAGTTGAAACAAAGCAATAACAAACAAGCTTACCATGTTGAAGACTGCGTCGGACTGACCAAGGGTCAAAGAGCTTCTTTGTTTGTTCCGCAAGATCAAACTTTGACAGACGAGACTGATAAAACACATGATAGACAGCTTCTGTCCGCTGCCAATCATCGCTATCTTTACGTCTATCCTTTACTGGTCCGCTCAATTAAATGTTTAAGGATTAATTAAATTGACTCACCAAGGATAGTATTCTCTTTTGAGAAGTTTAAGTTTACAAGATGTCGTTAAGTTGCATTACTGTAATCAGACAAGTTTTGAAAAGTTAAATATTAATCATACACCCCACTTATTGCCAAAATATAGATTTTCTTTAAGCGAGAATAGTCCTATAGAGTACATTACTATCAACATGTTGAACAAGCTACCAAAAAACATGAGCGACAGTAACAAAATCTTATTAGATCTTAAAAAAATTATAAAAGGTCAACAATGAATTTTTTTTCAAAATTGTTTAAAAATGTATCTAGTGCAAATAAAAACAATTTTGTTTTTTGTTGTTAAAATAATACAAAGTGTAACTTTTCCTAATACATATCAGATTAGTACTTTGCATTGCAGTTTAAGGCTTTGTTAAAAAATAATTACCATACAGAATATGTTTTGCTACACAAGCCTGTACAACTTGTTGTTGATAAGAACTCATAGAAAACATGATTTCTGTTAAAACATCACTTTTACCTACAAAATACACATGGCCTGATTAAGGCTCTAGTCGCCAGTAGGCTGACGTTTTTCGCGCCCCCCCCCCTCCTCCCTACCGCTAGCCCTCCTCTCCGCCACCACTTTCAAAATTTCAAAGTATGAATACTAATTCTGAATTCAAAAATTAAAAAATACCAAAGGCATTATACTACTATTCAGTTTATTTAAAAACAAAAGAAAGCTGATCACAAATTAATGCATGGTTTGATTAGGAACTTTAAAAACTGCAAATTTATTGACTTTGAGATAATATTTTAAATTCAAGAGCTAAACAATATGACATAGTCATAGGCACTATTAATTCTGGTTGAGTATAGATACAGAAGGTTAAGACATTGTTTAAACTAAGTTCACAGTACGACCTTATAAAGCTTCGTTTGCACTAGGGCGGCACGGCGCGGACGGGCAGCCGTCACACAATTTTTCGCCTTATGTTCAATGCTGAACAAATGCCATGACGGCCGCCAATCTCGTTGTGCTGCACCAGTGCGAACGAGGCTTAAAATAGTAACAAATCGGTTGTTCAAGGAATGTAAAACTTTTTGATTTAAAATAATGTATTTATTTTACAGTTTATTAAACATATGATTGTATTAAACCAAAAGTAGACCTAACCTAAAATATCAAAAAACCAAACAATAATATACATACTTTCTAAATTAACTGTTAATTACCTAGGCCTTTTATTAGGGCCTTTACGCCCCCAGTCCCAACTTTAAGTCGTAGCTGTCTGGCGCCCCCCCTAAAACACTTGGCTGACTGGCGCCCTAGGCTCCAGCATAGATTAAACATACTCCCTTAGGAGGGAGTATGTTTAATCTATGCTGGAGCCTAATTAGCCTAATGGGTAATCAGGCCCTGAAAATACATAAGGATTATTTTGTCCTTACAAGGATATATTTTTACTGTTTTTTTATATGCATTTTATTTAGACAAAAATTGGGTTTTTATGTGGGTTCTACAAAATAAATGTAAAAGATCCGTACGATAACAATGTACAGATATATGCTCAAAACTAAAACTTATATACATCTTTTTTGTCCCACCTTCACATCTTAGGGCGCTAGGTTCTAGCCGAGGATAATTTTTCACATTACTTCAGACTAGGCCTAGTTGTTGCAGCATTATCACTTAGATAAAATCCATCGGTGATTGGCGGGATTTGAACCCGGTACCTAAATCACACGCTCTACTAGATCAGCACGTAACCAAAATGTAATGAATGAATGAAATTTTATAAGTACTAAGTGGTAAGTGTATTATAAATGTGTTGTTTCATATATAACGGAAAAGTAATTAAAGTTGAAGCCATAATATGTACCAAAATGTCTATAAAATTGCAAAATAAGGGAAGGAACTGAATGGGTTGATAAAACAGACAATAAATTTATAAAAATATATTTTATTTGAATATCCTTTTATTTACACTTTAAGTAGTTGTCCTAGGTGATTCAGAGTAAAAAAACATTCATATTTGGAATAAGGCTGAAGTTTAGTTTCAACATTCAACTTATAGTTAGGATAAAGGCAGGATAAGGTAGTTCATAGAAAAATAAGTTAATTCTATTCTTTTCAAAAATTCATTGACTGATTATGTTTTATCGGTGTATACCTCTACAAACTTCTTTAGTTACAACAAAAAGTATTTTCATTTATTCATTCATGGTGAGCAAATATAAGTTTTCTCGAAACATATTTTTTCAATAAAAATTCATCCGTCATGTATATTTCTAATAAAAAGATATCTACATAAAGTGCATTAAATATACAGTCATGAGCTAAATATAAAATAATCTTAAAATAACTAACTTTAATACATAACAAATAACATGAGATCTAAATGCTTTTAATAAATATTGTAAAATGAAACAAAACTTTGTATTCAAACAATTTTGTTATGTGAAGAGTACTTTTACAAGCAATTTTACATAAAAATTTTTACACCACACTACACTTTTTTAACAGACTTCCCACGTAAGGATTTAGTCCAGAAAACAGCTGTTTGCCGCCAGCTTAATCAAATGGGGTTTCATTACGTACCACTGTACTGTAATGAGTTTTACCGGACACCAATCAGCTGATTATATTTTGAAAATGAGTGATAAAAAAGAAAAACATAACCTCTAATATAAGTAGTGATTGTTAGTCCTTTAGTCGGTAAGAATATAAAGATTCGTACAGTTTTTTTATCATTACGTTAGCTTAGAGTAAATAGCATGGCATAAAATATCGTACGCCACTCGTCCAAAAGGTGTTTACTGGATTCGTATGGTAATACCGCACACACTCGTACGGTAAACACCCATTTTCAGGACTAGTAACGTAATATACTATTTCCTGAGAAACCTTCAATCTTAACTGAACATTTATTTTTCAACTTTTTGCTATTGCAATAAACTGTTTTACCTAAACGTAACAAAATACAGATTTTTGGGAAGCAAATTTTATGCAGAAAAGACTTCTTTTACGTTTAACAAGGAAAAGCTACATTTTCAAAGCAAAGGTTTTTTTAAATTCAGAAATATTGTGGCAGGTAGACTAGGTTATAATATAATATTCCATTTCAAATATGGTAAAAAACTTATCATAACCTAGCCTAACTGTCACTTTTCATTGTGGTTTTTAAACATTACATGTTCTATCAAAAGTGCATTTCTTAACTCCATGCTAAAACTATATAAGACAAGCGGAAGCGATGAATAAAAATTTCTAAAATTTATACCTACTATTGACATGATGAAACTATAACGCTGAGTTTTATAAGACTAGCATATTCAAATTGACTAAGGTACCGAATTGAAAAAAGGACAAATATTTTTAAGGCACTAGAAGTAGTTTTAACAAAAAAGCGGTGAATAAAAAATACAAGCAATATATTGTACCACTTTTCTGCTGAAACTACTTGCAATATTTAAAATTTGTTCAATTATTGTGTTTCTATATTTATTAGTTGAAAAAAATTAAAAACATGCTGAGCTGTAAAATAAAATATTACAGTTTTTACTAAAAGAATAAAAGTTTTAGTAAAAAAATCTATCAGATAAGTGTAGTGGTAAAATGTTTCATCAGTTTTGTATAAAGACGATGCTAAAAACTCTCACTTTGACTTATTAAATGCAAAACTCCAAGAAATGCTCAACACCGAATGCTGAGGAAGAACTAAAGCTTCCTTTATCACAAATATAAAAGCATGTAAAAAACGCAAAACTCAATAAAATAGTAGGCTACATTCTAAATATGTTTATATACATTATGCAATAAGTGATGCTTCACCGCAACGGTCATTTACAGAATGCATCAGTGACATAGTATATATACTGGTATTACAAATACTTTACGGCTAAAGTAAGTCAAATTTTAAACTTACACACCAATTAATCTAATAAAATAGGTTCGTCTGTGTTCTGTTTCGATATTTTAACCTCAGCAAACTTTTGACTGAGTAGCTTCATAACCTGAGCGTGCGGGACGTTGTTCTCTTTCTTTACGATGGCGTAGTTTTCTTTTACGAACAACGCGAACCCGGTCGGGTTTCGAGGAGTTTTGACAGAGTCCGACCCACTTGTGACGCTGTCGGTCGCCATCTTGGCAGTGACAAACACCTGGAACTTGCCGTAACAGAAGCCGCAACGTTTACGCTCAGTGTCGAGGGATTTCGAGTGTCGGCCGATGCTAAAGACACAGAACAACTAGATTAGTATGCAAACAATTTGAACACAAATGTATGGTATTGTACAATAATTAGTTAGTAAGTTTAAAGTTTGAAAATTATTGGACCTTTCCAGTTACTTGACTATTACTATACTGTATAAGTTGTATGTAATATACAAACAAAGTATTGGGTTATGCTTTGGTTTTACGTTTACTTTTAACCTAGCTTAATCTAAACTCATACAGGTCGTTCCCAAGCTCTGGATTTCATAGTCCGCGGTTATCCGATAATATACTATGTAACCGACGGCTAAAAATGACGTCACGAGCCAGAGCGTAATGATGTAAAAGCTGATATTTTTAGATGAGGGAAACTGGAACTATGTTGTAATTGCAGGGAATTTTTGTTGAGAGATTGGCAACAGCGGATTGGAAAGACATGTGAACTCACTGTTCCTGGCCAAGGAATTTCCAAATTTCTTCTTTTTTTTTGGTAGTGAAATAAAGCTAATTCAAAGGGATTACTTATTACGTATTTTATTATTTATCTAAAAGCACACCTATAATAGGCTACAGTTTTATTGATTGATAAACACAACCTAGGAGCAAGCATTTCCCCTTTAATGGGGGGGGGGCATTTTATAGGTGTGGGCAAGTAGCGATTTTTTTCAATTCTATTCGAGTCTAGTGGAGTATTTGAGTAAAAACTCGAGTATCGAGTAGAGTCGAGTAGTTGCGCGTTAAGTAGTCCTAGGCCCAGGGTTTAAGCTGCGGTACCATTTTTACCTCTTTGTTATTCACAGCTTAAAAATGCTTACATTGTTTTTGCAGGCTTTAGCAAATTTGCTAGAAATAAAATTGAAGATGTAACATTACCACAGCATGGTGTGTACCACATTTATGGTGTGTGGTGAGAAAAGTAGTTATAATTCTGCTACAACTACTTTAAAAATGTAGCTAGCTACAGCTAAAGCTACAAATCTTAAAAAGTAGCGTAGCTACAGCTAACACTGTAAAAAGTAGCGCCCTACTGTAGCGTCGCTACTTGTAGCGCGCTACTTCCCAACACTGCAATTAATTGCAAGTTAGACTTCCCGGAAATAAAAAGAAAATGATGGTTCAGACTTTTTTAATACAGCCCCAAGGTGTTTGGATTAGAGGTAGTCGACAGTACAGCTATTTCACTCACCTGTATCCGCAAGACATGCACTTGTACGTAAACTTGGTGGAGATGGCGTAGTCGTGGCAACGCTTGATTACAGGCAGCTCCGGGAACCTTCGATTGGCCTTGTCAGCCCTGCATGAAACAAATGATAGATGGTTTACACTAAAAAAAGGTAAAGACACATACAGCAAAATTTTATTACGAGAGAAAAATTTATTTAACAAAATTTGAATGTGAAAAAAATAGTTTATATTAAGACGAGAAAGGGTCAGAAATTAATAGAACTAAAGTTTGAGTTGACAAAAACTGTGTATGCTAAATCCTGAGTGTGGTATGACTAGGGTCGTTTTATATTCTTAATCTATATCCATATTTAAGTATAAAGGTGATATATCAAATAGTGTAGTGTGAGTACATTAGAACTCCAATTATCCAAATTTCTTACAAAAGAATTAATAAAACCTATAACTACAGTAATAAAAAATGTATTTAAAGAAGTGTGGTAACAACAAAATCATAACATCTCCCGCAGTTGTTTAGACAACATTATTTTCTCCCACGATCAAGGAAACATCATCATCGTCCTCCACAATCGCAGCATAAGGATGAATTTTACCATAGCAAAATCTTTGCAAACGCATTCCGCAATCACGATATTAAAAGCTCAACTTGACTCAGGCTTTTTTCTATAAAATACCACAAATTTCAGTCAAAATCCAACCTTCTGAATGTGGAACGGTCCTAATTTATTCGTATGGTCTAAATATTTAACCAATTTATACATATTTAAGGATAACATAGATCTTTCGATTTTATTTCACTCACCATGACCTCCAGATGGGTCCATGGCCGTCCGACGTAGCGTTGATGATCCACGTGGCCGCGTGACACAACTCGTGTATTAGCGTGTCTCGCAGTCGGTCCGCTCTGTCCAGGATCTTGAACAAAAAATATTGTAAGCAGCGGAATCTATCACCAAGTAACGTTCAATGAAGGTCTTCAAATTTAAATTTACACCTAGAGGGATTTTTCTTCATTTGACATAATGGTCGCTGTGTTAGATTTTAAACTTGGGTTTCAAAACATTTTTGGACATATACAATTTGTAGGATTGACTTATGCCTGTTATAACTAATCTATATTTTTAAATATAAGAATTCATTACAGATTGCAAGTTAAGCTATTACAGTACCTTTATTGACAGTACTATTCTAGAAGATCGTAAGATCTCGTTGCCGCGGTAGATCCTCTTGTTGTAACAGTAACCACTGGTACTGGTCATTCGAGAGTTCCACTGTATCAGCAAATCCGACGGTAGCTGCAACATAACAATTTTGTTATGTCTTTGCTTTGGATAGGATGATATTGATAGGTCGGAAACTGTTTTACACATTACTTTAGGCTAATCCTAGAAAGTAGCGTTATTATCACTTAGTGATCCATTAAATCCATTAGTGATTTTAGGATTTGAACCTGGGACATCAGGGACCGCCTGCGATCTACCACTAGACCTTGATCTAGAATACTTTGATTGTGTCTAGTTTACCTAAACCGCAAAAAACAACCTCACTAACAAGAGTAACAAATATTAACAAAAAAAACTGTTTTATACAAATTCCTTTTAAACTATATAATACCTGTTGGTCAAATACTTCTTTGTTATACAAGGTAAATAGCCTCTTGGTCAATTCTTCTCTCTTGGTTTTGAAATTTTTCTTGTACACTAAGGCGTCAGGGTGGCATGGTAGGCCTGCAGTCATCTCTGAAAATAATTTAACATAAGTACCATTTAACTAACAAATTTAAATAAAATTGTATACAGTTTTGGTGTAACCTACATTTAAACTTACATATTGACTTGATATGATTTTTTAAAGAACATCAGAATTTTTGTTCTCGTGAGAATACACTCCGTAAACTTTCAAAAGATGTTAAGTAATTTTTTCATTGGAGACGATAATTCATTAACAACTTTAAATCGACAGAAAAAAGATAAAATAAAATAATATGACGCAAGTAAAATATCACCATCTGTTATTTGGGTTACGAGAACTAATTGACATCACTCAATTGCAGTTATAAAATTGATGCAAAAAAATATGTTAGGGCTAATTAATAAAAAAACTCACATATTAAAATATTTCAAATAAAGGTGAATAAGTTTAACCATTCTGGTGAAATATTGGAAACCTCAAACTTGTAAAGATTTTGTCAATTAAGCGTTTAGGGAAGAGAGAAAGGCAATGACACTTTCAAGCAGGTTTGCCACCCGTTCAGATTTTGCTGGGACAGTCCCGATTTTGGTTCCTTATGCCCGTATTTAAGCCTATGTTAATTCAGGGGAAGGGGGGCCATGTCCCGATTTTTCTCTAACCTAAGGTGGCAACCCTGCTTTCAAGTAAAAACACAAGACATTAAATTAAACCAACAGCAAATAATTGTTAAGCGGCTGTACAAAACAACAAAAACAATGGTGTGAGGAATGGGTTCTCGTACTCTCGCCATTCTAATTAATACAATTTACACCTGTAAAACTTGATAATTTGTTATTAGTTGTTCGTTAGATACTTACCAGAAAGTGAACTTAGGAAAGACAAAGCAGGTGAAGCAGGAACTTCCGGCCTAACGGATTTACTTGGAGTTTTAAACGTCGAAACAGCTTTAGGCGCTTTGAAGTCCAAATCCATGTATTTCGCTTTTAATCTTTCCTCCGAACTTGGTTCTTTCGTTTTTTGACTCTTAGGAGTTCTTGTTTTGCCTACACTTCTAGGCAACTCGTTTGGATTCGTTGATTTTTCACTAAAACCATTGTCAGTCTTTTTCCCTTTGATTTTTATCGGAGTAACAAGCGAAAAAACCTCCATGTCGCCATCGCCTTTTTCTTCAATGTATTTATTTTTCTTCTTCGACCTAGTTTTTTTCGGTTTACTTGTATCTTGTGGTTTTTTCACCTTTGTCGGTTTTGTGTCGGATTTGCCACTCTCAGAGCAGCCGTCGTCTTTGCTGCTTCCGAAGGATAATCGTCTTCTGTTCACTTTATGTTTATCTTCACTTGGCTTGATAAGATTTTTCCTGAAAAATAAAAATATTATGTTTAATGGGCCAAATGAATTTGTAAAGAGAAAAATTTGTATTTTGAATTGAGTCAGACTCTAAGATGTATATAAAAATACTTGATAAGTATCTCTTCCAGAAAAAGGGTACAGTCAACTCTTGACAGGACCAATAAACTGTTCATAAGATAAACAAGGCCAAGGTCTGAACTGTTTCTCATTAGCTTTGAACCACATATTTTAATTCTTGATTATGCCTATTACAAATAAGCTTCCTTATTTTTTTCAAACACAACATATTAACACTCTAAATTACAGTCAACATTTCTTTTAAATTATAACTTAAACTCTAAACTGCTTACTTGAGACTATTGACGTCATCTTTGACTGCGCTTGAGACGATGTTTTGATAAAAGACGAGGCTTGCATTATCTTCCGAGTCGGAGTCGTTGATGAAATCTGGAGTTCCAGGTCTGCCAACACGATGTTTTGTCGACTCAACCTTGCCTCTCTGTACGTTTTCCAGGACTGCAACACAACAGAATCCAAATACTTTGTAACAGGGTGCTTACAGCGCCTGACATCCGAAAATGGGGGCTTTTAAACGCCATAAAAAGCTTTTAAATTCCTCACTAGCAGTTTTCAGAGGTAATTTATCTGTGAAATATAAGTAAATTATATTTATGCTAAGAGTTAAAAATTTAGAGACGTTATCACAATTAAGTATGATAAAATATTTATATTATTATTCAAAAGGTTTTAAATGAAAAAATATTTTTTAACACAGGTTAAGTTAGGGCCGCATTGCCTTTTCTTACACTTAGCCTGGATATAAAAATAATAAAAAAGTTTTAGCAATAGGCTATAATAAATTAAACAATAAAAAAGGAGAAATTATATTTTAGAGAAACAAAAAAGAATTGCATACATTTCAAATCTTACAAACACACCAGCCAGCAATAAACTACAATCCTTTCGCGGCCCAAACCGAACTGATGTACCAGATTAGTTTCAAAATAAATTTGGTCTTCCAAATGAAAGTTGAGCGAGCACCGGAGTTTAAATGCCACTTTTTAAACTAGTTATGAAATAAACTATTTCTTCAACTGAAAAATATTTTAATAGATATAACCATTGTGAATTTCACAAATTTTTTGTTGTCCTATGACTTGTTGTCCTAAGCACTTAGTTTTTCACATTACTTCAGGCTAGACCTAGGGGTTGTCATTATCACTTAGATAAAATCCATTGGTGATTTGGCGGGATTTGAACCCGGGACCTCAGGAACCAAAGTCCCATGCTCTAACCACTAGACCAGCTCGCTTCCCGTGAATTTTACCACGGATTATTTGTGTTCAATGTCCCAGCTGTCGCAAGCTCGTCTCAGACTTAAACTTTTGAGTAAGGAATAGACATTGTACATCAGCATAGAGACTGCTCAGTAATTTGAATCATCATCGATGAGCTTTTTGCGACTTGAATATGAAAAATAAAATCAAGGCCTTTGCTATTAAATTATTCCTCTTGTAGCAAATCTGCCCAATGAGCAAATTTGTTGCTAAAATTAAGAGGAGGGTAGCTCTGGTATAAGTTGGTATGAAAAGGGGAAATCTTTATGTGCAAGTTGCACATAACTTCAGGAATTTTTTAACTATTATTACTGAGTGATAAGTCTTTTTGTCATACAAGAAAACCATACAAAATCAGACATAGGCTACCTATTTAAACAGCTGAGTAGTTCAAAAGATAAATTTGCACCATAAATTAGAAATTTTAATTATTTTACTCACATTCCTCAAAACGATCTTCACTTGAAGAAGAAGAGAATACTTCGTAAATAGACGTTCTGTGTTTCTTCCTAAACAGACAATTTCAGTTTTATAAAAGTCATTAAATATTTGTGGACAAGGAATTAAATATTTAAAATAACTAAAAAGATTTAAGTCCTGAAGGCTTGTCCAGGACAAGTAGAAAGCTTGTTATTTTAAGAAAATCTTGCAAATTAATTCATTTATACACAATAAAAAATTATGCATCAATTAAGCGAATTAGCAATAGGCCTATGACCAAAGAACATTGTAAACTACATTAAAACATTTGCACAACGATCACAGGAAATCCAACCACAAACCTTCAAAGATAAGAAATTTGTTAAAAGATTTATTTACTTAACATTTTAAGTTTATTAAAAATTTATATTTTTAAAGAAAATCTCGTAAATTAATCACATGTAAAGTACGCTAAACCAAATAAAACTTTTTTATCTTGCTAAAAAGTAAAAACAGGTTCTAATTAAGGCTCAGGATAAGTTTAAAATAGTCCTAATGCTAGTTTTAGGGTTTTTGTTTTACTTTTTAAAAACAGCTGTAAGAACATTTAATCAGATGTTTTAAACAATTAGTCTACACATTACACAATGCCTAACCCTAAGGTCATCTTGCTTTTGACAAGTTCTTGTGCGTAATTTAACTTTTTTTTTCAATGCCTAACCCTAAGGTCATCTTGCTTTTGACAAGTTCTTGTGCGTAATTTAACTTTTTTTTTTAATAAGAATTAGGCTAAAAGAAAGAGTGTTTTAAACAATGATAATATGGATGATAGTTTAAAATAGTACCAAGCGCTTAAGAATTTTTTTTTCTTGGAATCAATGTTTTAACTGCTTCAATTTATTTGCTTTAATTTTAGTACCTATTTTAAAATGCAATACCTAGTAAAATAGTGTCAAGTCTTGACAAAAATTAGCAAATCGAGCATCAGTATTTCTTTCTGAATTGTATTTCCCTCTACTAATAAAATTTCATTACCTTTCAGTGAGCGGTGTTTTATTTTTTACAGTCTTCTTCCTCCTCCCTTTTTTCGGCTCGCTTTGAGTAATCGCAGTGTCTTTCGGCCAAACAGTTCCATACAACTTCTCCAAGATGTTTTCCGAGAACTCTACGGAATCTTGACAACTACTCTCGTCCTCGTCAACATTATCACTTAACCTAGGAATGATTATAAAAGAAATGTAAATATAAAAACTAAAATATATAAATTATTACAAACGTTTCAAATCCTTAAGCCCTACGAGCCTGAGGTACTAGGGACTCTTTGATTGATTAAATTTGCAGCACAAGTTAAGTTTTCATTTTTTTAGTTAGGTTATGCGTTCAGATAGTTAAGGTTAGGTTTTACTATTAACCCCCAAAATATTGAAATGTAAGAAAATGTATGCAATTTGAAAGCCTATTAATTGGGCCCTGACAGGTTAGGCGACTAATTATTTTACAAACTCATTCAACCAATAGAATTAATGTCCTATTTGAGGATGAAATTTACTTTTTCTATTAGAACCCAGAGTTTTGAGTATTTTAAATTGCTTGATAATTTTCAAAACAACTAAACCATTCCCTATTAAAATGTTTACATTGTTGGCACATAAAAGTACATTTTAGTGAAAAATATACATACTTTTTGTCATAGTCAGCACCGTAGAGCTGTTCGAAAAGTTTTTGCTCCTCTTCTAATGAAGTCTTCGCTTTGTCCTTTTTCTTCTTTATCCTTGGACTCAATGATACTTTGTACTTATTTTTAACTGGCATTATATCTTTCAAAGATATGACTTCCGCTGTTACAGGATCTATCGTTGAACTAACAGTCTTATCCTGGGTATCTTTGAGCCATTTATTGATATGCTCAAATTTTTGAATGATTTCAGAAGGAAGGACTAAAGGCATTTTAGGGCTAGTAGGAGAATGACGATTTTTAGCTTTTTGGACACTTTTACTTTCCTCTGCTTTCTGTTTAGTCGATTTTTTCTTATCCGCTATTTCTTGGCTTTCAACAATCATAGGAGGATCAGGTCTTTTGAAATTTGGTACATTTGTGTTCTTTCCTTTTGAAACTTTCACATCGTTATTGGTCTGATCTTTCTTTGACCGGGTTGATCCGGATTTTTCCTTTGTGGTTTCATTTTTAACTTTATTGGTAGGAGACTGATCTTTTATTGTCGACTCTAATTTAAACATGTCCAAACCTGTGGAATCATTGCTTGAACGCAATTTCTTATTCCTCCTGGATTCTACGTTATTTTTCTTTAATAAACTAGACGATTCTTTATTATGATAGTAATTTGTAGAATTTATTACTTCAACTTCATCTTCATCTATTCCTGATTTCTTCTGTGACACATAGCTTGAAGATGAATTTCTTGTCTGTCTCGCATTCAGGCCTAAATTCTCACTGTATTTCTTTACATTTTCATCAGCACTGTCATTCAGTTCTGAAGACTTTCTTTTTGTATTCTTCTTTGGACTTACACTCACACTATTTCTTAACCTGTACATTTTGTCACCTTCTGAGGTTACACTCAAAAGCGAATCTTTCCGTCTATCTAAAATCTCTGTAGAACTTTGATCCGTATCCGGGGTTTCCAAAATCACTCTGGTTCCGTGTCTACGTATCGCTTGGAACGAATCGCTATCGTAGGCCGTGGACAGAGACGTTTCACTAACTCCACTTGTCCTGGTCGGTTGAGTTTTTACTTTAGTCCTCTTTGCTGAGAGAGATCTCAAACGAGGACAGCTGTCTAACACACTTCCCACAGCTTCAGAAAAAGAACATTCCACAACATCCAAGGAACTTCGCAAGGAGTAACTACTATTCCTTTTGTCACCAGATTGACATTGATCATTTTTACTCTCTCTCTGAGGAGTTTTAGGGAAATCTTCATCAATATCCGATGAAATATTTATTACATCAGAGCTATACCGAGTCAGTCTTTGATTTGGTAGATTTCCTCTACCAAAATTTACGTCGCATGTTTCTAACACATTAGAACAAGATTGAAGGGGACTTATTTCACTTCTCTTTGTTCCCTTGGATCGTGTTCTTCTAACAGCAATGTTTTGCATGTTGATTGAAAAACTTCCAGAGGTGTCATTACTTTCACGGCCATTGAAACTTGATGACTTTGTATTCCTTTTGTTTACGGCAGGTTTAAGAAATTCATCTTTCTTCATTGGTTGCTCTTTAGGCAGTAGATTTTCTTTTTCTTCTCTTCTCTGATGAGAAATTCCCTCAGGTTTTTTGCCTTTCACTTTAGTTTTCAATGATCTGGTGTTCTCTGAAAAATACAAGCAAACAATAAGGTAGGATACTAAGACAAAAAATGTAAATTCATACAGAAAATACCACAGCCTCCTCTAATACAAGGCTGCGGCGAGACAAAGTGGCAACACTGCTGTCCCGGCAAACTGAAACAGCTGATGCACTAATTTTAGTCTGCGGAATGTTATTGTTTGCACATTTGTTATTACCACGGCAACAGGCATTCCGGTGTGACATTGACAAATACCAACCTGGTCTTATTAGAGGTGGTTATAAAACACTGTAGGCTTATCTAGAATAAGCCATTTTTAGGGACCAGCATAAACATACTAGTCCTATAAGTATTTTCTCCATTTGTATTCACCACTTTTCAGGAACTATATTTTTAGTATCTAGGCCAAAGATAATTTTTCCTTCAAGATCTCAATTTTGAATGTTCATTTCTGAATGCCTAATATAAAGTAAAGAACATGCCCAACACAAAACCTGCCATTCAGTGATACCATGATCCGTTCTTAGGTCTGCTTAGTGAAATTTAACAGTGACCTACACCAGAATCTAAAAATTAATGCTAGTATTAAGGTTCAACTAATTCCTTACTCGAAACTTCTGTAGGGCTTGACTTCTCAGCTTTTCTTCTAGGCGTTAATGAGCTGACAAGAGCAAATGAAAAGTCTAAATCCATTTCTGAAAAACACAATTAATAAGCAATTATAAAGAATTTTCTTGAATCTTAGTTGAATGGTTACTACTTCACTTATTGCTACTAAACTAAGTTAGCTTCAGTACCTACTTAACTGATAACATTTAGGTAGTTGACAACATAATTAATTTAGCAGTGAAAATTAAAGCTGTGTCTCCAGGGGCGCTGCGACAGAGGAGCAAATGGCCTACCAATACTGCTACAACAATTATCTCACGGTAAACATGTCTAAAACAACTCAAATAGCCTTTGGTCGTAAATCTCATGAAGTGCCACGACTTCCAGATGTAGAAGTGGAAGATGAAGCTAAGTTTTTGGACATCACACTCGACAAGAATTTAACCTGGACCCCTCATGTGGACAATATATGTAAAAAATTAAGTTCAAGCATCTATGCTCTTAAACATATAAAAAATGCAACAGATGACATCATAACAAAAGTAGCATACTTTGCACTTTTCGAGTCGCACATTAGATATGGACTTGTAGCATGGGGTGGAACCTCTGCCACTAACATGCAAAGAGTTCTCACAAAACAAAAAAAGGCAAACAGGCTACCACCAGATCTAAGAAGCAAGACAGAAGATGGTCTCAAACCAGCTTTGCATCAATGGCTCATTAATCGACCTTTTTACTCTTTAAAAGAATACTACCAACAGATCTTTGACTAAACAACACCTCAACCACATATTTAGAAAAAATTGTAAATTGACGCTACTACTATTCTTCAAATGAATGTGTAAATAAAGATTAATTGTTTATTGTCAAATGGAGAAGTCGCTCCAGAACGGAAGACTTTGGGAGGCTGGAAATGGGGAAATATTTTTTTCTTTGTTCCAAATTATTGGGTTTATTTATAGATTGAAAATTAAATGTTACTAGTGGCTTGTAGGGGCAGTAGCCCCTATGTATATATTGTAGTAATTATTTTGTACAAATTATTAGTCCCATGGGTTACCCTACCTTGATTATCGTTTAACATTATTGTATATTATAATATGTATAATAGTTATTACATACCTGCATAATGCATTTTGAGGTCTGCTCTGTTAAAAATAAAAATTACAAAGGATTTTTCATGCGGTGTGTTTATAGTATAAACTTTCTAATCATAATACAACTAAGGATAATTTTCAATGATAATCTTCATGACTATTAATTAAATGTATATACATTTCTTTGAATATAGACAAATTCACTTAGATAAAATACATGGAGATAAATTTTTCAAATAAATGCCAATTTTTGTGAAAATTTTCCTTGTAAACTTAAACGGCATATTAGGATCTGTGGATATTAGTATTATTTTTGGCATGGAAAATACGTTTCCTTTGCCTACTCCAGTAATTACTACTAACTTTACACTTTTTCCAGTAATACCTAACACAACCAATCGTACTCCATTAACTAATCCAGACCCTAGCTTCATATTTCTAATAAGCATCACTATTGAACCAACTTTTAAAACTAATTTGTGTGGTGGCATTCCAGATCGTGCAATTAAATTAATATAGTCAATTGGTAGGTTCAACCTCTCGGGTTAGTATACCTATTACAGTGCATATTACATATTACCATATGCTTTAAATAAAGTTAAACCACATGTTTTAATGTAAACAAAGCAAACATGACCTAGATTCCCATGTTATTTAAATGTGAATTATTTTATTCTGTCACAACCTTTTGGTGCATAATTAAGAAAAATGAATAATTTTCCCCAAAATTTCATGCCCAGACCTTTAAAATGAGACCCCTCCCAGCTTTCTACGCCCTCCGGTTCGCTCACAATTTCATTGTAAAATTTTGGGCTTACGGAATTAGATATATAGATTGTTTGATGCAAAACTTGTTTAAACTGTTGAATAACTGTGTTTAAGTAGGATTTTTTTTAACTGAATTCCAAAATAAAAGTTTGAATGGTAGAAAAAGCTTAGTTAGCCATGCCTCACTTTGCCGTCTGATAGCACATCATTTTCATATCCTGCAATTGTGGTAAAATTGAGAGCCATCATCATTGTCTATGCCTATCATAATCGCAGGAAAACCTTAAACAAGCGCAATTGGGAGTCGTTATCGTCTCTTGACATTGCGACAAATTTATTGCATAGCATAACAAACCGAAACAGACATTTTCCACCAACCCTCACTATTTTTAAGGTGGCTTAAGTATACAGCAGGATGATGTACAATGCTTGGGGGAGGGGGTGGGGGGGGGTTGTATCATATGAGCAAATACCATCTTGAGCAAAGCCCTATAACTTAATATTTAAATTATTGTAAAATGGTTATAAGGTAAATAAATAAATAGGGATACCGTACATCCCTTCCCAAGGTGCCCTAAGCCTGGCTAACTTATCCTTTATACTTGGCTTACTAACCTCCAATGCAAGCCAAATTGTAGTGGATTTCGGAAAAAAAGGATTTTGATACATTTTGTCTTTACATTGTTTTTTTTTTTTTTGTTCAACAGCTCCCTTATGATTTGAAACTTATTCATACACCTATAGCTTCTATTGTTTAAAAGAGGATGATTTGGACCTACAAAACAAAACTAACACTGGCAACCATAAGCAATAGATCAATTCAGCAAAATAAATTAGCTTAACAACGCCAGAGGTGCAATAGGATGTAACATTTAAGAGATAATATTAGGTTTACTCTTTGTTGTGCTTCGCGTCTGTATGGATACCTATGGTAATTACACCAAAGCTAGGATGGTATTTGTTGTCAAATAGAATAGCTCATGTCTGCGTTTTGCAAGTCTGTTGGTTGCCATTGATCAGTGGCGGTTCCAAGGGGGGAGGGGCTATAAGGGCTAAAGCCCTCCCTTGGACCCTGAACATATTAATTGAAACATAGATTTCAAAATAGAAATGTAACGGCAGGTTTTAAGACACAGTTATAGACGATGAAAATAGCTTTAAAAAGTCACCGGGTACACTTCCATATCTGTTGGCACAAAAAAACCGAATGAAAATATCGATCTAAAGATTGATTATTCGATACGGTACTGTATATTGTTTGGTTAGAAATGAAATGAAATGAAAATGAAATGAAAAATCATTTAATTATACAGGCAAAGTTAGGGCCACATGGCCCTTTCTTACACGTACCTGTAGCCTACCTTGGTTAGTTAGGTAAGGTTAACCTAGCCAACTAACCAAACGATCAGTATCAAATTAAACAATCGAATAATCAATATTACTCATTCGGTTGTTTGTGCCAACAGATATGGAAGTGTACCCATTATTTGATTGTTTAATTCGATATATCGTTTGGTTAGTTAGGTTAGGCTAACCTTACCTAACTAACCAAACGATATATCGATCGATATTTTAACCCTCCGAGCGTCACTCGTCAAAAAATCAACGCGCGACACACTTTGTGTAGTGTCACGTGTCGATTTTTCGACGCACGAACATCGTTTACGGCGAAGGCTCTATGACTGACTGAATCGGATTAAACTGGATCGAGTTAGGCATCGTTCTTTTCGTTATATTCTACGCTTTCTCCAGAGGTCTGTCTCCAAGCACTTTATGTTCTCCGAGCCGATCGTAATTGTAGCAGACAGCTGACGTGCGTATTTGTAAGCAGCTAGGTTACCCTCGGACCGATGACTGATGTGTTTTATTACGTTTATCATTGTTTTAGTGTTAAAAATCAAAAGTAGTGATATATGTGGTGCATTATAAGAAGATTTAAGTGATTTTGAAGGGCTGGTTGATGATCCTGAAGAAGTTGTAGTGATATTGATGTAAATTATCAGCCAGACTCCTAGCTATGGTTAGGCTATGCATTCTTAGCTAAACCCTATGTACTGAAATCTGTTTTTTGCCCATAGGCCTAACTTATTTATTTGCAAATCTACTTCCTTATATTATTATATATTTGTAATCCTCATAAAATTTAGAACAAAGTGGCTATTTTCAAATATTTATAGGCCTATAATTTATACAATTTCATTGAGCACAAACTTATTTTTTTTTTTTTAATTTTCCAAAATTTTTTTTTTACCGGTACCTAAAAAAATTTTTTTAAACAAATGTTCCTTATGTTTTATGTATAATATTGAAGCCCATGATTTTCCAAACAAAATGGTATATAGAACAGTAGAATTAACATTGTTTTAAGCTTCTCAGATCCGTTTTAATAAAACCTTGCAAATGCGCCAAAAATAGGCGGACATTAAGGCCTAAACTATGGACACTCGGAGGGTTAATTCGGTTGTTGGTGCCAACAGATATGGAAGTGTACCCAAGTCACCAAATGGCTTTAAAAATAGCAAATTTTTCAGGGGAGGACCCCCAAATCCTGGTTTAGAACACCCCGTTAGCCCCCTCCCTAAAATGGTCCTAGAACCGCCACTGTCAGATATTGAAAGTCAATAGGTTCAAAATTGAAGTAGGACATGGTCAAAACACTGATGATCAAAATAATAACTTAGCCTAGCCTACATTCTGAACTGATTTTCTAGATTTTATTTTCTCACAACAAATATCCGCATAAACTATCGGTTAAATTATGAAACATCTTAGTGTGGAGTCTTGACCTTGACAAAGCCTTGATGTAGATTTAGCATAGGCCTAGACCTAGGGTAGTATGAAATGTAGGCCTAACCTAATTTGTTTTAAAGTGACAAAACTGACCTCAATTATCATTCCACTTTGACTGGATCACTGGATTCTTCATTTCAAACAGCAAAATCAAGAGCAAAAAACAGTTTTATTTCAGTTTGAATATAAGTTAGGGTTTTTATGGCAATAAAAGAGCAAGTATTTAAATTTTGAATTAAATTTCAAAAGGAAAGAAACAGAACATCAGACAAGCAAAAGAAGACGCATCAGCCAAATCCGACAGTTGAAAGTTGAAGTTGGGAGAAGAAGAAGTCACATTGCAAGCTTTTTCGTCTGCATAAAAAAGACTTGACTTGATTGATAACATGAAACCCTTCGAGCATAGCCTACCTTACTTAAATACGAAATTCTTACATTTCCACACACAATTAAAATTTAAATACTCATGTCTGCAAGGAGTTGGTTATATTAGTGTTTCTAACCCTTTTTTAGTTTTAGAATATCCAGGATTAAGATAAAGACTTCTTAGATGAGATAGCCATAACTAAATTTTAGCAAACAATTAATTGTTGCTTCAGACATCCAAAAACACGTAAAAAACAAGCTTCAGATATCACAACGAGATTATAAGCCTGCAAATACTTGTGTGGTTTATTACTGTATTACCAATTTAAATGTTTAATCTATGATAAATGGATCAACTGACTAAGTCAAGTAAGTTCCTTGCTAAAGAGTGTTGGCTGCTGCACTGCACCAATGCAGGTTTTTACTTTTTTCTACTATGCCACGCATGACGCATGGCTCGACTGTCGTAGTGTCGTCACTCCTCGTTTGTTTAATTGTTTACCGTCATTTGGATTTGATTTCATGGTTACATCATTACATTATCATCGGTACCAACAGGTTAGTAATATTTTTATACAGTCAAGTGGAAGTGGTTAAGCTAGGCAAATTTTCTATCGTTATTACACCAATAAATAGTTATATAATATGAAAAACCAAGCCAGCCTTGAAAGCTAGAATAAAAAAGGCTAGGCCTAGGTTTTTCTCTGTAGACTAGCCTAGACCTAGGCTACCGAAAATCTTAGGGAAGAAGTAAATTTCTTTGTTTATGGCAATTTTTTGTGAGCTTAGGGAATCTTCAGGCTAGTAGCGGGTACAGTTTCTTAACTGGGCTATGCTAATATCGATTGAAACTATCGATTCGATTAGTAAACCTTCATGCGATTTTTTCACCATCAGCAAGTTTGGTTGGTTAGGTTAGGTTATGATAGTTTAATTTTATAATAGATATATTTAAAAATATCGATTATTAATCAATATTTTCAATTCGATAGTTTCAATCGATATTAGCATAGCCCAGTTAATAAACTGTTCCCCTAGTAGCATATTGGTGTAGAAAACAAGGTTTACGGTTATTAGTGATTTTACAAAACTATCATCATCATACATTTACTATTACAAGTAAAATCACTCAGAGACGTAGGCCATTATTCCGTTCGGTTATTAGTTTTACGCCAGAAATAATAGGCCTATTGGTTTGTAGCCTAGGCCTAATTAATTACAGTGTGAACATTAGCCTATATTTTAGGTAAGTTCATCTAGGCGGGATAAGTTAATCCTAATCAGGATTTTTGGTTCACTAAGTTATTAGCCTAAGTTTATCTTCAGCTGCACTTTACTATACGTCCTACACTCATTCGAATGAACTCAACCAAATGGAAATATTGATTATTCTCTTGTTTCATTTGATATATCGTTTGGTAAGTTAGGTTAGGTTAACATTACCTAACTAACCAAAACGATACATATGGAATGAAACAATCGAATAATCAATAACTTATGTCAATCTATAAGACATAAGATCAATTTATTTCCTTTAGAACTTTAAATACAAAGTCATTGGAAAACGTTTAATTCTAGTACATTATGATATGTACTTTAAAGATTAATAAATTAAACAATTACTTCAACATCACATGATACAAGATTCAAGATTCTTTATTTCCAATAAAGTACAATAAATAAAAAGTGACATATTTTATAAAAGGAAAAAATATTCCTCACAAGACTACACGTCTGTGTGTGAGGAAGAGTCCATGGCACTCGCTGGTCACTCTTAAAAAATATATACACTTACATAAAACAACTTTTCTAGTTAACAATAATATAACTTATTCATTAAAATTAAAAATAAAATAAAATATCTTAGTCCTGGCCAACATATAACCATCAGAATATAAGTTCTAAACACTTGTTAAGTTAAAGCAAATTAAAATTTAAAAAATTAAAGATACCCCTCAAAATAAAATAAAGTAATTCTTACAATTTAAAAACAAAAATCAATCCGGTTTAAAAGTTTTGACATAGCCCATGCCTGATATAGCCCAACTTGGCTGATAAGTTGGAGATTTAATAGATTTTTTATTATTTTTTTTATTCAAACGTATGGTGAATGAATTAAATTTTCAGCAGCCGTTCAACAGAAAAGGAAATACATAATGTGTCAGGTGACAAATGAAAAAGTCCTAAAACTCGCCATGCAAAGAGTGAAAAACCAAACAGCACACTCTGAAAAACATCAGTTAAAAAAGTACTTACATATTCTTTAATTCAGGTTAAAAAAATTCATCTATACTTTCAATTGCGCTGGCCAGGAGGAGATATTCCACGCCCCTTTTGAATTGTTTACTTGGAAGGTTCTGGGCTGTAAGTTACAAGAGAACATATTGAATAGTTTAAGGCTTACAATGTAATAACTTAGTTTCTTTGTAATTTCTTCAGCTTAACAAAGGGTACATTTACATCCTGTTTACTTCTCGTATTGTAGTGGATGTCGCTCCTGAGCTTGAGAGCGCGGCCCACCTCCTCCTTAGTTTGATGAGGGTCTGAAAGATAAAAAGATCATAAACTGTCAAGAGGAATTCAGCCTTAAAGATAGGCTCACAGTAATCCAGGCGCTTGGCCCCTGCTACTATTCGTATAGCCTTTTTTTTGAGAAGCAGGACTCTCTCGACTCCAGGAGCGGCACCCCAAAGTCTCAGTCCATAAGTGATGATGCTCTGGAAAATACCACATACACAGTCCTTAACCAGACTTTTGGTACACATTACCTTAACTTACGAAGCAAATGCACAATCCTTGCCAGTCGGCTAAAAACATAGTCAATAGCTGTTCCAATCCAGCTTACAGTCTAGGTAAATGCCTAATAGCTTTACACTTGTCTTGTCACCTCATGCTCAATTTTTCGGAGGCTATAAACAATAGATCGGGTTTTATCTTGATTTAGAAAGAGATAGTTTGCCCGGAACTAGGTAGAGATTGATTAAACGCTTCTAGTTCAACTCAAAAGCACTATTTCTAGCGAACTATTGTAACGCTAACGATTGTAGTGTCGTCTGTATAGCAAACAACACCATTTACCAAGGCACATGGGAAGGTCATTAATCATTACATTGAAGAGCAGGGGCCCGGGCCTGCGGAACGCCATAGGTTAGGCTTCTGATACTTGAGCTTTTACCATTTAGGGACACCAACTGCCCGCGCTCGGCCAGATAGGACCTCAACAAGTTTAGGCTTTTTGCATTCAAACCATAGAAATTTAACTTTTTTAATGAAATTTCATGGTCAATAGTATCAAAGGCCTTGCTGAGGTCACACAGGGTGGCCCCAGCAAAACCGCCACTTTCAAACGATTTAAAGATAGGCTCAGTCAAAGAGTACACTAGGTATCTATTGTGCTGCGGCCTCACCTGAAACCGTTCAAAAGAATGTCACTTATTATGGAGACAAAACTAACATAGTGCATGGCAATAAATCACTCAGGACACAGACCCAGAGACAGGCGGTGACAGGTGATGCACGCGCTCCGGTCAACGACCTGACCTTAACATACTTGGAGGTGATTTGGCAGGCAAAAGTATGACTCATCTGGTATCACTCGATTCATGACGAAACAAGGAAAGTCCTACAGTCATATTTATGATTACCGCCTCAGCGTGCTGTATAAGGTTGGCCTCCGTATTATACCATAGTAGGCCTACCACAAGTTTTTACCCTGGCTAAATATACCCGTCAAGAAATTTGGCTTAGGCTAAAAAAAAAGAAATTGTCGTAAACACCATATTGCAAATTTAAACTGGCTTATTAAAATTTGTTATTTGTTCCTAATTCACCTTAAATTATTTGCAGGATGAACTACTCTACAAGGGAATATTTCAGGAAGGATTTATAAACATAAAACTATGTTTCCCTCAAAAGCTGCATGAAGAAAAGTTTACATGAATGTAAGTTTAACTTATTTGTTTTGGTTGCAATTCATAAACATTTTAGCCTACTTTAAACTTGAAGATTACATCAACAGCTTTTCATACTCTGTCTAACTTGCTAAATATAGCTGTCAAGAAAATTGGTTTTGGGTACCAAATAAAAGTAAATTTGTCATAAAATTATAAACATATTGTTGTTAACAATACAGACAATCACTGTTAATTGAGCGGAGCGAGCGAAGCTCTTATACGTCGACTTTTATGCATTTCGTAATACGCAAACTCCTCCTAGACGGCTGAATCAATCGTTTTAAAATTTTGGATGGTGATAAAGACCATATCGGTGAGTGCCAACTATGGCGTTAAAAATAACTCTCAGGAATCCGCCCCACTGGGTCTCAAAGTTTCAATGTAATCCTTATGGAAGCAGTATTTGACACATAAACAAAGACATATGATCAGCTGTTGACTTTTGAATGCAGTAGATAAATAAATAGCTGATAGCATTATTCCACAGATATTAGAACATAAACGGTGGTATGGATCATAAAATAATCAAATGACGACACTAGCTTGAGGTCCGCGACGTAGGAAGTGTTAAAGAAAGTACTAAAGGTGAACAGCCTGGAGTGTGGAAACTGTTTATGACGATTACATTTAAGGTATCTGCATTCCAAAAATTATAAAGGAAGATAGGAAAACGGGTCCGCGACGTAGGAAGTGATAAAGGGAGTAGTCAAGGTGAGCAGTCCGGAGTGTTGGAACTGTTTATGACGATTAGATTAAGGTATTTGCAATCATAAAATGCTATGGGAAGGGAGCAAAACGGGTCCGCGACGTAGGAAGTGATGAAGGAAGTAGTCAAGGCAAGCTGTCCGGAGTGTGGGAACTGCTTATGACCATTATATTAAGGTATTTGCAATCCTATGATGCTATGGGAAGGGAGGGAAACATGTCCGTCACGTAGGAAGTGGCGAAGGAAGTAGTAAAGGCGAGCAGTCCGGAGTGTTGGGACTGTTTATGACGATTAGATTGAGGTATCTGCAATCATAAAATGCTATGGGAAGGGAGGGAAACAGTTCAGTGGCGTAGGAAGTGGCGAAGGAAGTAAAAATGCTATGGGAAGGGAGCAAAACGGGTCCGCGACGTAGGAAGTGATGAAGGAAGTAGTAAATGCGAGCAGTCCGGAGTGTGGGAACTCTTAATGATGATTAGATGAAGATATCTGCAATCCTAAAATGCTATGGGAAGTAAGGATAACGGGTCCGCGACGTAGGAAGTGATGAAGGAAGTAGTCAAGGCAAGCTGTCCGGAGTGTAGGAACTGTTTACGACAATTAGATTGAGGTATCTGCAATCATAAAGTTCCATAGAAAGGGAGGGAAACAGTTCCGTGGCGTAGGAAGTGGCGAAGGAAGTAGTAAAGGCGAGCAGTCCGGAGTGTTGGGACTGTTTATGACGATTAGATTGAGGTATCTGCAATCATAAAATGCTATGGGAAGGGAGGGAAACAGTTCAGTGGCGTAGGAAGTTGCGAAGGAAATAAAAATGCTATGGGAAGGGAGCAAAACGGGTCCGCGACGTAGGAAGTGATGAAGGAAGTAGTCAAGGCAAGCTCTTCGGAGTGTGGGAACTGCTTATAACCATTATATTAAGGTATTTGCAATCCTATGATGCTATGGGAAGGGAGGGAAACAGGTCCGACACGTAGGAAGTGGTGAAGGATGTAGTAAAGGCGAGGAGTTCGGAGTATTGGAACTGTTTATGACGATTAGATGAAGATATCTGCAATCATAAAATGCTATGGGAAGGGAGGATAACGGGTCCGCGATGTAGGAAGTGATGAAGGAAGTAGTCAAGGCAAGCTGTCCGGAGTGTGGGAACTGTTTATGACGATTAGATAAAGATATCTGCAATCATAAAAAGCTATGGGAAGGGAGGATAACGGGTCCGCGACGTAGGAAGTGATGAAGAAAGTAGTCAAGGCAAGCTGTCCGGAGTGTGGGAACTGTTTATAACGATTAGATTAAGGTATCTGCAATCATAAAATGCTACGAAAAGGGAGGGAAACAGGTCCGTGGCGTAGGAAGTGGCTAAGGAAGTAGTAAAGGCGAGCAGTCCGGAGTGTTGGAACTGTTTATGACGATTAGATTAAGGTATCTGCGATCATAAAATGCAATGGTAAGGGAGGAAACCGGTTTCGTGACGTAGGAAGTGATGAAGGAAGTAGTCAAGGCAAGCTGTCCGGAGTGTGGGAACTGCTTATGACCATTATATTAAGGTATCTGCAATCCTATGATGCTATGGGAAGGGAGGGAAACAGGTCCGTCACGTATGAAGTGGTGAAGGAAGTAGTAAAGGCGAGGAGTCCGGAGTGTGTGAACTGTTTATGACGAATAGATTGAGGTATCTGCAATCATAAAATGCTATGGGAAGGGATCAAAACGGGTCCGCGACGTAGGAAGTGATGAAGGAAGTAGTCAAGGCAAGCTCTTCGGAGTGTGGGAACTGCTTATGACCATTATATTAAGGTATTTGCAATCCTATGATGCTATGGGAAGGGAGGGAAACAGGTCCGTCACGTAGGAAGTGGTGAAGGATGTAGTAAAGGCGAGGAGTCCGGAGTATTGGAACTGTTTATGACGATTAGATGAAGATATCTGCAATCATAAAATACTATGGGAAGGGAGGATAACGGGTCCGCGACGTAGGAAGTGATGAAGGAAGTAGTCAAGGCAAGCTGTCCGGAGTGTGGGAACTGTTTATAACGATTAGATTAAGGTATCTGCAATCATAAAATGCTAAGGAAAGGGAGGGAAACAGGTCCGTGGCGTAGGAAGTGGCGAAGGAAGTAGAAATGGCGAGCAGTCCGGAGTGTTGGAACTGTTTATGACAATTAGATTAAGGTATCTGCAATCATAAAATGCTATGGGAAGGGAGGGAAACAGGTCCGTCACGAAGGCAATCATAAAATGCTATGGGAAGGAAGGATAACGGGTCCGCGACGTAGGAAGTGATGAAGGAAGTAGTCAAGGCTAGATGTCCGGAGTATAGGAACTGTTTATGACAATTAGATTAAGGTATCTGCAATCATAAAATGCTATGGGAAGGGAGATAAAAGGTCCGAGACGCATGAAGTGGTGAAGGAATTAGTAAGGTGAGCAGTGTGGAGTGTGGGAACTGGAAACCGTTTGTAGCAGTTAAATTAATGTATCTGCAATGCTGAAATGCTATGAGAAGGGATGGAAGCATCCTCACGACATAGAAAATGGTGGAAGAAGTAGTAAAGGCTAGCAGTGCGGAATGTGGGGAATGTTTGTGGCAATTAGATTAACGTATCTAAAATACTAAATTGCTATGGAAAGTGATGAAAACAGGCCCACGATGTAGAAAAAGGCTTAGAAAGTAGTAAAGTATGAGCATAGTGTGAAAACCGTCTGTGGCAGTTAGATTGATGTATCTTTAATCCAAAAATGCTATGAGAAGGGAAGGAAACAAGTCTATGACGTAGGAAATGGTGAAGGAAGTGGTAAGGCTTGCAGTGCAGAGTGTGGGAACTGTCTTTGGCAATTGCATTAATATATCTGCAATCCTAAAATGTTATGGGAAGAGAGGGAAATATGTCCACGACGTAGGGGGTGGTGAAGGAAGTAGTAAAGGTGAGCGTGTTGAATGTGGGAACGGATAAATGTATCTGCAAAGCTAAAACGCTTTGGGACGAGACTGTAGACTGTAGGTTAAAATAATTTCGAAGCACGAATCGATACATATTTCGATACATGCAATCGTTTATAATAGAAGTTTACAACTGAGTTGACAACAGCTGATTTTTACTCCATAGAGGATAAAAACTATTTTTACTCCATAGAGGATAAAAACTTTTTTTACTTCCTAAAGAGTAAAATTGCTACTTTAGACCCGCAACGCATGCATTAAAAACGACTAGTATTACTGCAGTATGACCAAAACAATATAATATAAACCCTTGATGACTCCGCTCAATTTTGTGGATGCCTCTGCGAACGCCACCTAGTAATAGGCCTACTGTTAATACTGTTCTGTGAAATGGCGATCATACAAAGTAGGTATTTTAAGCCAAGTATGAATAGAGATGAGTGTAGGATGAGTGGTGCGATCTTGTAGTCTTGTTAGTGACTAAGGCCGATATTCCTTAGACACAGCTGCTGTTAATTAATAGCCCATACAGCTAATGGCAACTAAGGAACCTACAGTTTATAGTGGAATCCAAACCACATTTTTGCCTTGGTAATTACGAATTGGTCTAATTATCAGGATAGTACTGCGGATAGTCATTGTACTCACCCGTGCGGACGTTAATCCACACTGGGGAGTATCGCATCCACAGTGCATGCCTATAAATATCCACAATTCGTGACCTCCTAGTAGCTGGATTACAGGACGACGCCACCCGTCCCAGTCACTATAAACACCATATTCTTGTCCCCAATACTGATTGTAGAAATAGGCCTAATATAATAGGCTATGTACCTTTGTATGTCTTCAGTCTTTTAATAGTAACATAATAACTCAAAGTTCCGTCCACGAGTACCGTCGTGTTCACCGTGCAACTCGTGTCAGTTTGAACCACAACAAAATGTAGCTGCTCGAAACCATTTATTAACATTTTTCAGTATCATAAATTTGTTGACATGCGTTTATTATTTGATGAAAACTTATGTTGGCTTTTTGGACTAATTTAATGTGGATTTTAAAATGGGTCTTATAACCTTAAACTAGCCATCATCAGACTAGATTAATAAATATAATGTGTTTTGTGTTTGGTATAAACTTTAAGTGTATATAACAAATTGTTCTACGAGGATTTACCTAATGATGTGACCGTTCTCACAAAACCTGTCGTCATCTAACAAAATCAAAGGATATTGAACAGGTAACAGTTTAATTAATAACACAATAAGTTGTTCTATCAGATTGACTTGGTAAAAAAGTTCAGGTATTCCACAGAAACCGTACAGTAGACTCCCTCTTATTCGGACTCCTCGGGACCGAGGCCAGTCCGGATAACGGTTTTTTCAGTTAAACTGACGTCCCAGAAAACTCTTTAAAACGGACCATTTACTTTAATATTCAACCTAAATTTAGAAGAGCATTGTATTTAGACACGTGATCACTGGTCTCAAATTTTTCCCACGAGAACAGTCATTTCCGTACCGCCCACTTCCTGCCAATCTAGTCCGGTTAAACCAATGTGCTGATAAAAATTGTCCGGTTAAAAAGATGTCATTTCCGCCAAGTGTAGTCCGGTTAAACCGATGTCCGATTAAAAGGTGTCCTGATAAGAGGGAGTCTACTGTACCGGTAATTTAGATCAGCACAATCTGTTGTTGGCTCACATCAACTCCGACTGTTCGGACTAAAAACTGCTGTTTTTCTCAAGTTATGGCTTGTTTAAATAAGCAGTTGCGTTACTCATTATGGGCACAGATAGTTAAATGTAACTAATTACTATTATTTACTACATTTTTTAATTTGTTTCAGGTATGACGTCTTAACAAGAGCCACAAAATGGTTGATGCAGTGCAAGTATTGTTTAGAGCAATTCGAGAAGGCCAAACTGACATTGTCCATTTCTGTTTGCGGAACAATGATGATCTGCTTTCCGCTGTTGATTCAGAAGGTTCGACTCCTCTTCATCTAGCTTGCTCGCTCAATAATGCCGAGGTATTGGATTTACTACTATCTAAAGCTACACCTTGGCAAACCCCTCTTCATACAGCTCCAGAAAATAATGATCCTCGACCCTTTTCCTCGGCCAAATCTTCCGTCGTTAATATCCAAGACTCAAATGGCAACAGTCCCTTACATATCGCTTCTATAAATAACTGTAGCAAAGCGATAGAAGAACTTATTCGAAAAGGAGCGATTGTAGACTTACCTAACAGTCAAGGCAAGACTGCTTTGCACCTTGCAGTGCAAGAGGGATGTAGCTCTGTGATTGATGAACTCTTGCGGCTCGGAGCCAACGTCAACGCAAAGAACGCAGAAGGAAAATCACCTTTACATCTGGCAGTTTTGAAAAAAGTTCTCTCCATTGTGGCCAAACTGGTACAGTCCGGGGCAGATTTAGGAGCACAAGACAACCGTGGAAACACTCCCATGCACTATTCAGTTGTCTGCGGGTCGTTGCAAGTCTTTAAATACCTTCATCACGCAGGTTCTGTGGCCAGCACAAACCATAGACAACAAACACTCATGCATTTTGTGTTGGAAAATCTCGAATGTAAAAATTGTTTTGACACTATTAATTGGCTTCTGTTCATTGGTGTTGACGCAACAGCCCAAGACGACAGAGGAGAGACCGTCTTACACTATGTGGCCAGGGAAGGCTCAGTTGCATACCTGAGGAGTATGAAAAACAATGGTGTTGATTTTGAAAAACTAGTAAAGGTACAAAGTAAAGATGGACGAACTGCTCTACATTTGGCTGCAAAGTACAACTGGCTTGTTTTTGACTGGATTTTAAAAGACGTGTCTGACTTAGATATAAAAGATTCCAAAGGTGTCACTCCATTTGAAGTTTTAACTGCAGAACATGATAGACGTTTTGGTAATGATTCTATGCCTTTGGTACACTATTGTATTCACTACAGATTATGTCAAGTTTTGAAACTTGTTCTCAGTCGAAACCCAGACATCGAAAGGAAATTTAAAGGTGATACTCCACTAATAGTTGCTGCCAAAACAGAAAACTTAAACGCAGTTGATCTACTCATCAGTGAAGGAGCCGATCTCAATGCTCAAAATAATAAGGGCCAAACTGCCCTTCATGTTGCTGTTCTAAAATCTTCACGTTTAGTTTTGAAATTGGCTTGCAAAGGAGCTGATGTTAATATCAAATCCCATCAGGGCAAGACACCACTCGATACAGTTTTAAGACAGAATAGTGTCGATATAGATACTTTAGCATGTTTACTCAATTTTGGAGCCTTAATAGATGTATTTGGATCTAATGGAGGAACTTCTTTGTCTAATATTTTGCCCCACATTAAAAAAAATCAGGAAATCATGGATTTAATAAACCAACATTTGATAAAGCTCAAAGCTGCTGGTATGTTGAATACGCTGGTCGACATTCAATATGAAGGATTCGAAGAGTTTCACAAGAGGTGTCTCGAAGAAATCGATTTGATGAAAAGCGAAAGATACAAGGGAAATTCATTGTACGATGTATTTTCAAAGTTCAGAAACCCTCTTTACATCTGTAATGATCAACTGGAAACCGAAATTAACTCATTCAAAGAATGTGGGGAGTATAAAAACTTGCCCATTTATGGTCCTCTGTTGTACCAGACATACTTGGTAGCCAAGGAGCGCTTCACTTTACTTAGGGATGCTCAGTGCTTTTTCAGGCTGTTGAAATTTTCTAACGATATGAAACTACCTGATGAATTGGAGAGGATAGTATTGACCTATCTGGGTAACGACGATCTAAAAGCTTTGATTAAAGCTTGCCAACCTTCCTCCAAAACTAGAAAGCGCCGTTTGGACAGGCCGTCCAGGCAGTGTCGGCAGAGAAAAATTCGCCGAACAAGATAGGTGGAGTGTGCACAATCCCTCAGGGCATCACAATCAAACCCAAGCCTGAAGGTGTGTTTTTTTCCTGATACAGTCCAAACTCTTAGAGTTCTAAAGGTTGATTCATTGGACGAAAAATTAACCTATTCCACTAACTACCTATGGGAATAACTCAACAAGATTATAGGCCATAAACATACTTTTGTCATTTAAACCCCCCCCCCCCCCTAAACCTCTTGCGTTACGCAACTCGAACGTAGTAGACTTTGACTTGAATAAAATTTTTACTTGTGGAATATAGATTTAAAAAAAAATTAAACTTGTAAATACATTTTAAATAAATATAACAAACAACAATAGCCTGACGTGACCCCCTCATCATCTTGTGGAGTGGACGACTGAATACGCAGCAACACATGCACATGTCAGTCGCAGTCGTAGATAATCAACCTTCCCCGCCCACACCCCACATCACCACACTACAACACTGGGCAATATTGTATCATTTTGTGGTTTTACATTCTAAAACAATTACATGCAGCAATGTAATTAGAACAAATACAATGTAGCATGACAGATGTGGACGTATCTTATTATATGACTAACTGATTTTGATGATTTTTTTGTATTTTTATTAAAGGAATGTGTCTGATACGTATCGCTAAGTAAACCCCCCCTCACCCATTTAACACAGTGTAATGCTATCTTCGATGTCCATAAGATGACGAGAAAACGTATCAAACAACGATAAGCAAATCAATGAATAATCTTTGGAACTCAAAGGGTTGTGAAATTGTTATGTTTTCTTTATTTTATCAATTGATTTTTAAATGTGAATTTAAACTGTTGAATGAATGATATTTATTGACAAATATCGTACAAGGTTTACATGATATATCACGGAAAGTAAATAAAAGAAACGTCTTATAACACTTAAAACATATATTTACGCTTATACTGTTACTCACAAGACGGTAAATATACAAAACAGATGGTAAGTGGTGATCGATTTCGATTGGACACTCCAATCATCATCAGACCCAATAGGCGAATGACAAGAATCTTAATGGCGTCCCTACTTATACCCTATTGGCTACCGGAAGCATCGGCCAATACATTTTTATACATTCTTTGTTGAAGTAAATATCTGCAATCTTCATGGAAATCTTGATTCTTTAACAAACAAGGTCTCATTTGATTTGGATTTAAATTTTCTATATTTTTGATCTCAAAAGAATACACATTTAAACCTATTTTGAGTTTTCAATCTTGAAAAATTCCCAAGAAATAAAATAATTCTTAAATTTCACAAACAGAAATCTAGACATTGTAGACCCATTACAACACACATACATTATTCTTAGGGATTGTAAAGTCTTGTATGACATTTTATGTTTGTCTTAGCCCAAGGAACAAGTCTGCAAAATATGACCAGACAATTTGGAAACACCCTGTATATCATGTCAACCTTGTACAATATATTATAATGCATGATGTCTGTATATTAACAGAAATCATCAAGTGACCCTAGATATTTCAGAAATATTACTTTCAAAAAAGTGTAAAATAATACGTACATTTGTATTTGTGTGAAATAGAGCACTGTATCTCAATTGTGATTTCTGTAAAATAATTCTTTATGTACATCAATGCTGACTGATTAATTTAATGTCTTTAGTTTTAGTGGATTTTGATCGTAAACCATGTACGATTTATGTTGATGCTGCACTATTGAAGCTGGTTTCATATATTGTAGCTGTAATTTTTCCTAAACATATTCATTCATTTGAAAAAGTAATAGTAGAGGAGCGAATATAAAATGTAAGTGTTAGAAAAACTAAGTGTGCCATTGAATTGCCTTTGTATCTTACTTCATTGTAGTCATTAATCATTAAACATGATTAATCATCATCATGATTAATTAACTCATTAATCATCTACCTTACAATTTTTCCTTCTGTTTTTGCTATCTGTATATGTTAAATCTGTGTCTTAATGTGTTCAATTGTGTTTGTGTTTTTGTAAATATTTTTTTGTTACTGTAGAAGATATATTTACAAGATAAATTTGTTGAATGAAATGTATAAAATTTATATGAATTTAAATAATTTACTATTGATATTCGTTGTGATTTAAGTGTTTACTTCTTGGTGAAGTGAATTTTATGAAAGCATAATTTATTAGACATATGAAAATTTAAAGTGTATTTATTGTACCCTAAGAAAAAAATTGTGTGTACAATTGTGTATTTTTGTCTATAAAAGTTAGCTAAACATTTGCTATCATGGCATCCTAGGTCTTCCAGAGAGAGCCGTGTCAAATTAGTAACTATAATATCTTCTATCTCCATTATTTACAATTCCGTACCAGAACTTTCACCCATGCTAAAATGTGACACCTTTTGGTCCCATTTACTCCCGAGTTTAATATGTGTTTTTAAAATTTAACAACTCAAAAACGCTTCTTTTGACAAAATTTTAGCGAATTTCCCTATAGGGAAGTAGCTATTACCGTAGGTGGCACGGTAAGACCTAGACCCGGGACCGATTTACTTTTTCATTTTGATGTCCCCAGAGGCCAAAAACACTATTCGTTCAAATTTTTATATATATATACGTCCGTGAACGCGTTAACTTGAGTAATTTTTGTCCGATTTTGATGAAATTTGGTTTAAAGGTGTAAAGCGGGATAAACTTGAATGAGTTCGCGAACCAGCACGATCGGACCATGGGAACGGGGCTTTACGGGGGGTTTTATGGGGTAAAAATTGGTTTTTCTCACTTTTGACCCTCAAAACACAAAATTTCCCGATTTCTCTTTAGACCTTTTTAAAGAGCTTAAAAAAACAAATAATTTAGTATATAAAAGTATTTTTGTTCGATTATTAGTAACGGAGAAAATTAAAAAAATTGTGAATTTAAAATTCCCATGTTATTCTTATGGAGAATATTGTCAAATGTTGTAGTTTGCTTGTTTATGGATATATTTTGATCAAACTTGGCAAATTTATTTATTTTGTACTAAGCTATTAATATTTTACTCAAAAACACACTTTATTAGTTTCCTTGTAGCAGCAAACCTAGGTACTCGTTAAACCTAATGTTATTAAAATATATTCAACTGAAAATCAATTCAGACAAATGGAAATTCGCTTAGTCGGCAGGTTTGCTGCGGCGGGGGTATTTGGGTTACAGATTGTTTTTAAAGCTATGGTGACACACAACAAATTGTTTAAATCTTTTGTTGGCAACATTGTTTTTCAACATATGTTTTTAACGTTTTGTTGCAATCTCAGGTGTAAACACAGCATTATAAGTAAAGATGAGGTTGAACTCGGTGGTAAAACTACTGAGGATGCCACATCTTAGCATGGTCAAAACGTCTGGTATTGTAATGATGGTATGAATACCTAGGTGACACAGTTTTTACTGGCAGATCAAGAATGTATGGATGAAACTGGTTTGAGAATATAATGGAAAAGGTTGTACTAGTTGAACTAAGAATAACACTAAAGAAACTATTTTTGATAATACATGTTGATGCTAGTATTTATTTATTGTACGACTGTATAGTAGAACCTTGTTGCTCCGTTAACTTCAAAGTTTGTAAATACATTCATTTTATAGAATAATAAAGATTTTTTTTATCCTTTTTTAGCTCTCAACTATTTTGAAGTTTTTACTACAAGACTCTTTTGAAAGGTTTACTCATTTTTTGAAACAGGTAATTACCTTATGTTAGCAGGTAAGACAACTGGACTGATTCAAATAAAAAAAAATACTTCATTAAAGTAATTTCGTTGAACAGTGAAACAGAAAATCCTTAACCCTGATAGCATGAAACAAACAATAACATACACTCAAAATTAAATAAGTGAAAATAAATAACTACAGGTTTACAAAAATTGATGTCTAAATAACATTAGGAAATAAGCTCATACATTTTAAGCACATAATATTATGTATGATTTGGTTATCAAGTCAGATTAAATTGATGAAAGGGAGGACCTTTAACTTATACTTTAGCTCACTGTCTCCCTGTATATTTTTATCTTTTTCAAATTTTCAATAATTACTATTGTAAAATATTTATCTTTCTAGCAAGTTGTGGTGGGTGTTAATGAATCTTTTGAGTTATGTTAAAATATTGATCAATACTGTAGTTATCAAATTTAATTAATTTTACTTGAGATATAAATCAACTTAAACAGACTGGCACCATTGACTATAGGTTGAGTACTTTGCAAGTATACAAATGGAATGAAGAAATAATATATGTACAAGGAAGTATGGCCACCCGTAAAACATTATGAACTTCCTCCTCAAAATAATTCTCAAATTTTAACAAGATTTTAGTAAAAGCATTGACTTAGTGGATAGAAGTAAATCTCATCTACACAACCATCAATAGTCTATTTTCCTTCAAATAGACACATTGTAGAATAAGCCACTCACAGTATGCCACAGTCTAAGATTCGATTTTCTGTATTTTTTGTTGCTTGATTAATTGATGACATAAAAATGCTATGCATAATTAACGTGACCATATATTTTGGAGTACGAAGCGGGAATGTCATCCTATCAGTTTTACTTGGTTTTTAAGTGTATTTTATTAAACAAAAATCAGTAATTTTCATCAGCCCACACATGTGTGGTTCATTCAAGGACGTCCATTTTGATTTATGGCGACAACTTTAACATGGAATGTTTAGTTGTGTCAAAAGTAGCCAGAATAAAGAATCCCTTAAAAGTAAGGGGGTTCGGTACCCCCTATGTTAGCAATGTTAACATAATGTACCTTTTCTCAAAAACCATAGCAACTATGACAATGCAATTTTTGTAGGTTGTTTATGGTAACCTTAGCAACAATTTAACACAGGGATTTTAAAATGTATAAACTTTTAGGGATTAAAAAAATTTTTTTTTGAAAAACAAAAAATGTCATGAAATTTATTAATTAGGCATTCCTAAAATCAGTTAAAACCTAACTAGAACAAAACCCATGTGTTAAAATTACCTGTTACACCTAATAAATAAGTGGTTAAAATTTCAGGGCTCTAGCTTTAATAGTTTTTGAGAAAAGGTACATTTTATATAAAAAAACTAAACTTTCGGAAAAACGAGTTTAATCGCACTCTCACTTTTCTCACTCAATCTCTTTTTGGAGCTAAAACCTGAGTGCTGCATTATTTTC